CAATGCCAAATCGTATAATTAGCCTCTTGACGCATGCTATTAGATGAACAAGCACGGAATTTCCACTAAGATAACGCTCGCCTGCATTTAATTACACCTCCTACCCAAGCATTTGACAATGCCACATGATATGTCAGACCCTGTTTCACGATATGAGGGATATGTTAAGGAACATAACTTCGTCTTCGTCGTCTGTACGTCTTAGTGGTCCTCTCCAGTGGGGACTTAAAACTAAAAAAGATTTCCCAGATTACCGCGGCCACTGGTGTCCTTTCTGCATGTCTTATTTGAGAACCCTGCTATCAATTCTCCCTAGCATCACCGCCGCCGGGGGCAAAGCCATTGCTGTTACTGCTGAGCCCGAGCAGCGCCTTGCGGACACGATCAACGCTACGGGCTACAGTGGGGACGTAATCGTCGACACGAAGAACAAGATCGCAGCGGATCTAAAACAACGGATAAATTTCAATGTTGCCATCTCGTCGAAGTCAGGATACGAACATGGCATGGCACAGCCGGCAATTCTAGTATTGAAAAACGACGGGACAGTGCTGTTCGATTGGGCCATTGTGCCCGGGGTGATGAATCTTGGTGGCGCTAAGGACCGCCCGGATTTGAATCAGGTCTGGGAGAATGTGCTGGCGCGGTTGAATGGACAGCCGCTTGTGCACAAGAAATACACCTTGCAGTCAATTTGGAGTGTCGTGACGCAGAAGCTGTTCAGCTGAGCGAGGAAAGGCTGCTGCTGTTACGATTGAGGGCGTCCAATTCCATATGGAAGAGCAACCGGTGGGTTAGCCTTGTTTATTTGGATGCTGGGAAGTTGGCCAGGAAGGTGCCTGAGACCGGACGCCCACAAATGGCCTAACCTATATCCTCAGAGGCTCCTTCTTCTTTTCTCTTTGGACTTGATTCCTTCGTTGGTCTTACTATATGGCCCTGCCATATAGTCCGTTCCCCGCACTCCCGCTCTGCCAGTGCCCATCTACCCCTATATCTACCAGTATCCAGCTTGCTTCACTCCTTCTCTTCTCCAAGATTTTTGTAAACAGCATGTTTGCCTAGTTAGATTGAATCAAGTCTTGCTTCAGCCCTTCACAGTCTGTCCGTATTTCAATTGGCACGTAACATTGAATCAAGTCTCCCCACTACTCTTATCTCTTTGCAGTTTTCGGCAGAGCGTGGAGACGTATTCACGTTGATCCTATTGGTATTGAGGAGGGCAACCCATCTATACTCAATGGAACTAGCCCTCGGCGAGCGGGTGAAGCGTTTGTAAAACGTCTTCGAGAAGCAACCTGTGATCCGAGGAGGTATGTAATCCCGAGGTCTAACCTAGGGATTACAAAGGTCTTATATCTAGGTAGAGTTAAAGCTAAAACAATATTGACTATATCAAATAGTGGAAAAACAATATTGATGTCCGTTATAATATCCGAGGTTATCCTCTTTACGGTGTTAGTAAAGGTCTTTAGAGTAGCCTTACCTACTTTATTATAGTAGTCTAATCGCGGATAGAAATTATAGTTTATTCCAAAACTATATGAAAGGATAAATACCCCGTACTATGCTGGTATCGGCTATTCTTAAATCATAGTAAATAAGCATCTAGACCAAAGGAATATTCTCGTTATAAGTCGCTTCTTTACATCCTTTCAACTAAAGGCCGATGTCACGAACGAACCGCCGGGCGGTACCTACTTTCACGCCGTACTTAATAAAGAAACCTAGGTCTTAATTCTTATAGATCTATATAAGGTCGAATTTTTGAGGGTCACATCGCGTACTTTACTAATATTCTCCCTAAAACTCTCGTTCTTCGCCCGCGAATACTACTATTTAGTATACACCTCTACAGCGATATCTAGTAGGCTATTAACTATAATAGGAATCTACCAGAAGGAAGCGAAGCTAGCAAGAGAAGCTCTTCTGCAGCTCCGCCTTATCATAGAGAACCTCTGCACTATCGTCAACCTCCAACCACTAACCAGGCCAACCAAGCCAGCCAGGCCGGTCAACAGCGACGCCCTATCTTCAAAAAACAACTATCTCTTAGCGAAATCGATTTCTTGGTCTATCTCGAGATCCAGGGCTTATGAAGCCTTATTGATAACGTTCAAAAATCAGTTAACTTTACGCGCTATCAATTAATACCGGTTTCGACCTGGAGCGACCGTATGGCGTCGGTGGCGAGCCCGAATGGCATCCCGCTGCCCCAAGTACATAGGTTTGTGGCATTATCTTTGGCCAGCAAAGACCTCGATGGTATTACCAGTATGAACTTTGTATTCCTCGCCCAACATAATTTCAAAACTTACAGTATCTGTAAATTGTATACCGTCCTCGAATCATTTCACTTCCTACATACATAGTGGTGGCATGTGGGGTGGCAATAATCCGGCGGACGAAACGCGCTTATCGCCGCCTTTTGGCATTTGGCATTTTTGACTTTTGCGGGGAGCACGTTTTCCTCCCTTCTGGCATCCTCGACCCTGACAAAGCGGCCCTGTCTCGGAGATCCAGCAATACACAGCTTTAAAGCAGTTCGCCTTTCGCATAACATCTCGTGGTTGATTCACCCACGCGAGTCAAGAGCCTGTCAAATCGTGCCTAGGTTCCCCTTCTAGTTCTCACCCCCGATGGACCCTTGAAACCGGTCCATCAAGCAGACCATGTGAGGAACCTTCCGCGATACATTGGATGCCACGCAGAAAAGCTGCCGACCGCGCGAGCCAGGTGAAAACCCGGTCTCGCAGCGGCTGTCGAGAATGTCGGGCGAGTCGCGTGCGATGCGACACCAAAAAGCCCGTCTGTACGCGCTGCTTGGAGAGAGGACTGCCGTGTTCGACCAATCTCATCCTGAAATGGGAGTCTGAATTCGTGAGCCGTGGCATGGCATTTGGCCGTGCTGGCGTGTGGAGTAAGAACCGCACCGATGCATCCCCAGCCTCGGGTTCCTGTGCCTCGTCTCCTGCATTTTCTGTAGATGATATGCGAGAGTGGTGTGCACTGCCGGCAATACATCCATGGGCATTCATCAACATCGGGATGACAACCTTTGAAACTCCCGATCAAATAGACATTGCATTGAACGAACAACTTGCGCTCGTTCCTATCACCAACCATGATGCCGTGTCGATTGCCGGCGACGCATTGGCTGATCATCTGGCATTCGGTTTCTACTCCATTCGCAACGTCGGTGGTCTTAGGAGGGCAATGAATCCTGGCCCTTCCCCTGCACTTTCCCTGTTTCCAGGCATATCGGAAATAGGTCATACAGAACTGTTTGATTATTATCTCCAGCAGGTCTGCCCTCGCACTACGGCCAGTTCTACTCTGTCTTCACCATTTGCCTCTGTGATTCTTCCCTTCAGCGTCTCAGCATCGCCCACGTTGTTCAAGGCCATTCAGTCACTCGCTGCATGCCATTGGGCCCGACAGGATCCGGCTTACAGCACCCTTGGACTCCGCTTGAAATCGGAGACCTTAAGAGACCTCCGTCGCCGTCTTTCATACGAGGGATCCGCTACATGTTGCACCGATCCTGAAGTTTTGGTGGTCATGATGATGCTCTGTCTCTATGAAATTCTAGACAAATGCGATGAGCATTGGACGATTCATCTCAAGGGCGCCAAAGATCTGATTCGGCTTCGGAGACAACGAGTGGACGCGGTTCCCGACCCGGTGACCACCTTTGCCGAGCATTTCTTTGCTTTTCAAGATGTCATGGGCCGGACTGCCTGTGGCGAGGAGGTGTTATTTGGCAGCGACTACTGGAAGACTGATGATCAACTCATTGATTTGTGGATGGGGTGTAGCCCCGAACTGGTCGCCATCCTCTCCTCTATTACCGAACTGAGCCGAGCCCGGCGACAACTTCAATCGGGGAACTCTTCCACCTTGTTTTCTGTTCGTGCTGCTTCGCTTGAGCATCAGTTGGAAAATCTCGTCCAGGAGGTTGGAGATGGTGATGATGATATCCTTGCCTCTGTCGCCGAAGCTAAACGCCTCGCTGCTTTACTCTATCTGCACTGCGCTCTCTACGGAGCCTCTCCGACCACGCCTTTGGTGGTGAATTATGTACACCAGATTCTTCGCCTGGTCTCGGATCTGCTCGAACGCGAGTCCATGGCTAGCGTAATGTGGCCCGTTTTCGTCGCCGCTGTAGAGCTCGATCCATCACGGGATGAGCTCTGGTCTAGTCCGGATGGCCAACCGGTATCCGGGCGCTTGGTTGTTCTTCAAGCCCTGGCATCGATGGCTGATTCCACCCTCTCGAACATTGCCCGGACGCGGGCGGTGATTATTCAAGCGTGGCAAGCCCGCGATCAGGATCTTCTTAAAGCGCCGCAGACGGAGACGAATGATTGGGAGAAATATGTAGCCCCCATCAGCACATCTATGAGCTTGGCTTGATTCGTATATAGTGTATTATATTTTCCTGCTTCTTGGTGCTGGGTGACTTCCATGTAACGATGCCGAGGACAGAAGCAGTCACAAAAATCCTATCCTGGGATCAACGACACACCGGTGGATAATAAGACGTTGCTTCTTTTCTATGGATGAGATGATAGTAGACATCCACAAGATCAAATAGTTCGGATGATCGACCCAGGCAATGCAATCGTATAGCAGGTGTTAAGTACGGTTCGATGTTATACCAAGGAGGTATATAAGGATTCAGTAGGCCTAGTCGATATTCCTATTTCTACGTCGCATTTCAATTGATCTTCAACCGATTTATACAGACTTCTCATCGCCTTCTATCCGATGCTCTTCCTACTCTAAACGTTTCGTCGTGACGAAAGTAATCCAAGTGCGGGGCGCCTCCGCTTTCGGTTTAGTGGAACGACTCGGCGGCTACCAGTCGGGCTCCAGCGTCCTCTTTCCAACGCTCTTTCCTCAACTTCACTACTTCTCTCGATAGAGCGTGCCATGACTTAACACCTATCGGATAATGCCTTTTGTTAGGCCATCGGCCCGTCTTTGAATCCCGGAGAATGGCACAGGTCCGTCCTTCGGTGCCCGGGCGCAGCTCCTCCGCCCACGCGTTCGAAAGCAAGCTCAGCCAACAACTATCACAATCGCAATCGCAATCGCAATCGGAAACGCCTTTCGCCCAGCGCGAATCGGAGTCGCGATCACCAAAGTCGCGCTCCCTCTCCGATGCCCCCAAGCCCACCCCTCAACCCGCCACGGGAGACTTGAGTCGTCCTCCCAGCAAAGACGATAGCGTGATCCCATCTTTACCGGCAACTCCCAGCAGGTCGAACCTGCACCACCCGAACCTCTCATTGAACCTTTCGTTAAAAGGCTCCGCCTCGCCTTCAATTATCAGCCGAGCTCCTCTTTCTCCCAAGCTTGACTCCTCCCAAATTGCCTATGGGTCCCCAAATTCCGTACTTCCACGCCGCTCTCGTGGTCTCGACTTCTCGCGCGCTTGCACCCACCTCCATCATTCGACCTTAGCAGAGTCGTCCCCGGACTCATCACCGACCGTCGGAGGGCGCGGAATGATGATCCCACAGCGGCGTAGTTCGCCCGGACTGACTTCGGTCCCACCTTTCTCGACTTCGGGCCCGGCAGACCGAACGGCGATCTCGAGCTCAGTCTCGAGTGTGAACATGTTAGAATCAGACACCAGCAGCAGTGAAGGCGACGAAGATGCCATGATGGGGGACCGTGATGACGTGATGCTCAGTACGCCGCAGGCGGCGCGAATGGGCACCGGGCCCGGTCTTTTCGCGACGGGTACCATCCAAAGTCCTGGGAATGATTGGATGGGCGGCTACTCCCAAGCTGCGGCCAGCCTCATGAGCTTCCAGCGGGCTCGATTCCGAAAAGGGCGTAGCCGGCACAGTTCAAGCAGTGCCAGCGGAAACAGCACCAAGCCAAGCCCGGGGCCTCATTCCCCTCCTGTCATGAAGAGCGTCGAGAACCCAACCGCTGGGTATTTTGCTCCCCGCAATTCAATTCATTCTCGACGAGAGAGCTTGAGCTTAGGGACGCGAGATCTCCGACTATCCGATCTGAGTGATGATGGAGAGAGCCGCGGCCCTCGAGGAGGCAGTCCTACCGCTGTATCGCATTCCGATGGTGGGCCACTGGGCGTAATTCGACGTGCGGTCACTCGTCGGGGGAGTCTTCTGGTAAGTGGTATCTAGTTCGCTCGTCAAGCAACTTTCCCTGAACATCATTCTGACCAAAACGTCATCAATATACAGCCCAAAACCAAAACGTTCGCCCGCATTCGGGCTGCTTTGATGGAAGAGGGTGCACCCGTTGACAGTGATATGAAACGGGAAGCAGAGGTCATCCGGCAGGTCCGCGATACTGAGCCCGAGACATCTCCCACACTCAGTGCCTTCCCAAGGCTTCAACCATCTCAACCGGTCCAGACGCCGGACATTGGTCCAACTGCCACTGCTGCCAAGTCTGAAGTAGCAACCCCTCTGGCCAGCAGTTTTAGCAAGCATGCTAGTCGCCATTCCGGTGGGGTAGAGTTCTGGAACTCACTCGATGGGCGCTATCGGACGCCACCTCCCACTCGTCAAGGTGCACCCTTCGCTGCGGATGAAGATATTTCCATGGACATGACCCCTTCCACAACTCTAGGGTCTACCACCGACTCCAAGCAGCGCTCCCGATCCTCCACTCCGCACGCCCCGGGTATGTCCGCGATTGGCGAAATCTGTCGCAAGCGGCGTCGTGATGATGATTTTGACCCCAACCTGTTTAAGCGACGAGCCGTCTCACCTAGTGTGAGTGCTCAGAGTAGTCCAGTCCTCAATCATTCTTCTACAGTCGATACCAGTGGACCCAACATCTGGGGCCCGCCATCCAAGCTAGGACCACCATTCTCTGAACGGCCCGTCAGTGAGAATTGTAACGGCAGCAATGCCAACGGTGGTAGTACCGGTGGTGCGAGTAATGGCAATCGCCTCAGTTTCCATGCTGGTACCCCAAAACGAGTTGGATTGCAAGGTATGACCGAAGCCAGCGATGGGTTTATGAATATGAGCATCGAGTAAGAAACCAGCTCGTCGCTATTGTTGTTTTTCGGACATTGAGATTTGCACTACATGATGACATTCTTATACGCTTTTAATGAGGGGCACTGGGAATTAGTACAGGGCTGTACTTTTTCCTTTATGGATTCTGTCGTTTCTTGGGTTTCTGGCATGGCGTTGGGAGAGATGAGATACACATTATGCAGCGTGGAGATACATTAATATTATCATTTATCCTATGCACTCTAGTGTCCTCTTTTTACTTAGAAGCACATTAAAGACGCAGAATCCATTGGCATAGATCCAAACATTGTTTGTCCCTGGCTCATCCCGCCAAGCAGAGTGGAGAGACTCCAACGCGGCCAAAACACGTGCGGATCCTCTCCGCCCCCGAGCTCAACTTCCTCCACTCCAAACAGCGGACTCTGTTGCACCCTCATCTCCAACATTTTTCCTGTACTGCTTCCACTCTTTGCAGTATGGCTTCAACCATTGAGCTTGCGTCTGCCTTCATTGAGGGTGCCCCGCCCGGCGAGGTAAGCATACCGGTCATACTCCAAGCCCTTCCCCCGGATTACCCCTCTGCCATTACTGCCCCTCTCCTCGGGCAGTCTGTACTTTTAAATACACGAATATAAGCTAATGATGGGTCTCTCTGATGATAGCTTGCCGATGTCGTTGCCGGTATGGAACCTCTCCCCTCCTTCGCCGGGCCTTAGCCTCCACGGCTGCCTGTCAACAAACACCCGCGGTTTCCGATTCATTCGCGTTCTCCTGCTGAGTCTCGTGTCCGATCATAGATGTGCAAACCCTAACCTCCGACGGTGACGATATCCTTCCTTCGCTTGCCCCTGCTTTCGAGCGATACAATGAAAGCCAGCTCGCGACGGTGAAGCTACCGGGCTCAAGCCAGGAGGTACGGTCGAGCTTGATCTTTGGATTTAACGCAATACGAGAGCCTATTGAATGCTGACCTTTTGGATCTGGTGTGAAGGTGATTGTCAGTGAATTCAACAAGGTGGAGGGCAACCGCTACTTTGATACCGAGAGCCAGACTTCGTTTGAAATCGACCACACTACACAGGTGAGGGAGGAGATCAACCGGACAAGATCATTGGGATATTGAAAGCTCACAACCTGCGTTATGAAGACCGCCTCAAATGCGCAGTCATCGCCTTTGGAATCACAGAATGCCGATCTGATGTGAGCTTGAAAATGGATCGACTTGGACTGCTGCAATCCCCACTAATCGAGGTCTATAGTAAATCGCTGCTCAAGTCCCTAGGTGTTCATGCCAAGGAGCACTACCCCAACTGCTCCTACGGTGTCTACCCCATTGATAATGACTCTGCTGTCGCAATTCTTCTCGTCGCTAACCGATACTCTCCTAACAACTTTTGGTGAGTCCATCTTGACGGACGAAGTTTCCTCGAATAATGAAATAAACAACGAGAACACGGGGCTAACTTTCCGCTTATTAGGAACGGCCGATTCCGCGCTATCTACCAAGTCCCCGTTACCTCCTCTTCCACAGCCGTGACGGGCAAGATTCACGTCAATGTACACTATTACGAAGACGGCAACGTGGCTCTGAACACCACCAAGCCCGTCAGGATCCCCATAACCTCCGGCACCGCCGAGTCCATCATCTCCCGCATTGCCGCAGCCGAGCGCGACTACCAGGAGGAATTGAACCGGGCATTCGTGCGCATGGCCGAGGGAGCCTTCAAGGGACTGCGGAGACAGTTGCCCATCACCCGTCAAAAGGTGGAGTGGGAGAAGGTTGGAGGATACCGGTTGGGTCAGGATATCTCTGGTGGCAAGGGACGGTAGTTCAAGCGAGGCATACGATGAGCAAGTGCAATTTTGAGCGTTGGACGCAATTTATCCATAGGCGGGCCTGATGAATCGATATACATATTTCTTGCACATGAATTGTTGGTTTCTTTTGTTTTTGATTCGTTTGTTTTCTGCAAGATACATGCCATACAAGAAAGAGCACATTGGATATTCTGCGATATGCTATTATTGTCGATGCATAGTGTAGTGCTGTGTCATCTCGTTCGTTTCTTCTCGACCTTTGCTGCCAATTGGGCAATGAGCCTGGAGAAGAAGATCGCCCGCCTCCAGTCAGTCTAAATAGACATAACATCTACGAAGCTGGGATTCTTCCTTCTTTCGGACCCCGACCGCTCTGAAAATTGGCGTACAGATGGAAATCAACTCAATATGTATGACAAGCGTATTACAATAATGACTAGCCAATCAAAATGATAGTTGATTGGATCAGTCAAGACATCTAAGCCCTTCTAAGTTGAATAAGGAAATTATAGCCCATCTTCAACTAGTTTTGTTAACTATGTAGATACTCGATGAGTCCCGTCATTTGAGCCTTTGACCTGTACATCAGCTTGGGCAGAGGCCTTTTGTAGGACAGTGTCCGATCCAAAAAAAAAAAACTTGGACCGAATCCACTAGGAAAATGAGAGAACAGAATAACCTCTTGCTTCCTCATGTCCCTCTTAATATAAATGAAGATTATAATTCTCCAGGGAAACGCAAGCCGACCAAAACTCAATGATATCGATCAGTCTGGAAAAGCCTGTGAAGTCGGGATAAGTCAAAGCGTTTCACAAATTAAGTAGCATGAGATTCCCAAAAGTTGCAGGATATAGATGACCAAACAATTATCGAGTTGGCGTACTAGTGCCCAGACTTTCCCTCATGTTCTTTGAAATATTTGAGCCACTGCTCCGTCTTTGTCAACCCATTCGTGAATTCAATAACTCTGTTTCTGGTTACGTCTGTCGCAGACGCTTGAAGTGAAGCCTTGAGCTCCTCAATAAAGAGACAAAGACCAGATCTCCAATCGTAAATTTTGAGCGCGCGATCTACACCCGCACGAGTAAAATCGGCGCCGCTTGTTGCAACTCCAATGGCAATAGTGACTGGTATAGCCGTCGCATGTCCAAGGCCTGCTGCAAGAAAGCTTCCAATCGTAATATGCACTAATGTTACTCGCTAAATAATCCCTGAAGCCCACTCTTGTCGAAGCATATCTGCTCCTAAAGCGCTCTCTCCTAGGAGTGTCTGAGTCATTTCGAGCATATGGTAGGCGTCCCAGATCCCCACGTTTGAAGAAGCAAGGCTATATACCTCCTAACGGGCCTCGCTTCTTGCTTTCTCCATGAACTTCGTAGCTCTTTCACTACCGGGATCCCGGCAAAGATAATAATAGTTCAGCCAGAACTCACGGGCGGCGCTATGATCAGGCATATATGTTCGTAACAACGCCTTCCACTCTCTGTCCTCCTCGTTTTAAGCAACCGAGGTGCACACATATTCCCACCACACTAGGAAGTATCCAGACATCTCCCAATCAATTATGCCGGCAAGGGAGCCATTCTCAACAATAATGTTCACATTAGTGAGGTCTCCGTGCGTAAAGGTGTAAGGCGTAGCGGAAGGCATACAATGTCGAAGCCGTATTCGTGTAGCCTCGGGGATTGTCTCTTGCAATCCGTGTTCCATGTCATTCCAGAGATCATCATCGGATGCTAGAGGACCGTGAGGAGTCTCGGAATCTTTATCTTTGAATAGGAGGTTTGAAAAAAACGGATGGCCGCCAAGAGATTGAATTTTATCAGACTGGAGCGCGCGAAGTTGTTGTAGATACTCAGCGGTCTGCTTTGCTATCCTATCTTTTTCATCTGCGGAGAGCTTCGGCCAAGCTTCACTGAGGGGTTCGCCGGGGATGCGTCGCATTAATATGAGGGTGTGTATGTCTTCCTCCCAAGACTCGACAATAGCGGGCACAGGAATAGATGTCTGTTCCTGCACAAATTGAATATTTGGTACCTCGAAGGTCGGCAGGCTAGCACCTCGATCTTTCAATATCAATTTTGAGCCTAACGACCAGACAGACGCCTCGGTCGCCTGCTTCATAAAACAGTTTGAGGTAGCTTTGGTAGTTGCAATGATTTTGGCGTTCAGTGGTCCAGCTACACGCTGCGCAGGGGTCTGAGCTCATTTTGGATGAATAAGGAATGGTGCACGATGGAGAAAGACGTGTAGTTTCAGTTTCAGTTCTGCGGGGAGCGTGCTGTTTTAAGAATATCATGGGCACCTTCACACCGTCTTTCCTTGTGTATAAAATTGAACTGGCCCCTCCCCGCTAGCCCTCCCTGTGATAGGGTTGCACCTCCATAAATTGGGACGCCTTACCTGTTTGCAATATAAGCAGCAGGGGTCTCTGCCCTCGTCTGTGTCGTCGTCGGGGTCATCGCTGAAATCGGGCAGAACACCAGCATCCGCTGGGCGGCGCGGGTAGTTTTGGACGGGCTGAAGGCCCACTACGATCACCAGGAAGAAACGTAGACTCTGGAGATGTCAGCTCGGTTGAATTTGAGGCTTCCCCAGAGTCGGAGTCATCGGTCGCGTCGAACTCAGGCCGGAAAGACACCCCGGAAGTATCACTGTCGATCGCAGAGGATAGATCTGCAACGTCGCTCTGCTGCCTCTAGAGAAACAAAGATGTGTGCGAAGCCGCTCCAGGCAGGTAGACAATTCAATACATTGGGAGACTTGGAAAGCAGAGGCATTGGAACGCTACGGAAATGATCATCAACTCAAAAAAAAGTGATCGAGGTATATAATTGGAACATACTGGTGCCGCCAGAAGCAAATAAGTAGAAAGAACCACCATCCTAATTGTAAATTTGAGACTAATGCCTATGTTTGGTTGCGTGTCGTGTTCTAGCTCACTCATATGGCCCGTTCATATAGTCTGGGAAATTCTTATTTCAATCGTTCCGTCACCTCCTACCAGGCCAGCTTTTGTTCGTCCCTAAGACCAAGATACAAGTCTCCTCATTAGACTATTGTAAACCTGTTCTCGTTGAAGAAGAGTCTTTTGATAGTCATGGGAGAGTGTGGCAAAGTGGGAGCCAGTTAAACAATTTATATACTAGAACACCGCTAAGTCATATAAATGTGGCAGAGCCCAGTTTTAAGGTATTACCCAGACCAGCGAAGAAGAGTCCCTCTCGTAATAATCTGAATGCTTACTAGTAATATAAAGATCTATCATCGTTAACACTTAGTATATATTCGCTTGACGGGCTCTTCAATCGAAATTCAGTATGAAATTTATACCAACCCAGGCTATATAGTAAAATATAGGCTGAGGGGAGTGTGAGCAGACGAAGCCAGGTTACCCAGCCATCTTGCGGCTCATATCGGACGTTGACATTTGATAATATGGATACTGCTATAGTTCTTAGCTCAATTGAAATAAGTTTAACATTTTTTGTTCATAAGAAAACTCCCGGTCATACTATACCATCGAATCAACCTATCACTGCTTGATTCCTTCATCTGGTAAGCCGATCTTCATCTTCTTATGTCCAGCCTCTTTTCATTTCTATATCTTGGCTATATATACGCTTCTTGTGTGCACAACAATATTATGCTCCACGCATAAAGCCCGTCAGAAGATCGTCAAGAAACGCAATCGGTCAGCTAGTCAGATTCCCTTACGAAGAGGCTCAAACGTCGAAGAGGGCCTATAGCTAGTTAGATAGCTAATTCAGCTAGTAGAAGGCGATAGGGTAGGATCGCATGAGTAAGGCGAATTACTAGTCAGGCAAATCCACCATGTACTAGGGCCCCGCCTAGGTGTAGTGGGTGTTGGGAGTTTGGCCATAAGATCGATCGCTGTAAGAATCGCCTGCAGCAGAGAATCCAAATGCGTTTTGATGGAGAGAATTATGAAATTTTCCCGTAGGGGAAAGTGTACGAGAAGGGCGGGAATTAGTTACGTTACTAGCGGTGACTTGAGATGAATAAGCAAATCCATCGGGCATCGGGAGTCCCAGCGGGGAGAACTTGTCCCTTTTCCAGCACGACAATCCCCTTCCAACACTCACTTCCTGTTGCAGGACTGTAAATAGTATTTCTCCTGAAAATGGTTGCTCACTTGAATCGATTCTTGAGTTCCGGTGCCGGACTGGAGAAGACATTGCGTCTGACCCAGTCCGTGGCCCAGATCGCCGCGGTGTTTTCTGTGGGGAGCACCGCTGTGCGGTTCACTACTGCTAAATTGCAATTGGCGCTGAGTACGTTATCAATAGCCTTCCCTCATATGCTAAGGTGCTATTGTGCATACGGGGTCGGTAGACGCTAACTATGACCTCCTACCAGCACGGCGGTTCTTCCGTTTCTTTGGCTTCATCGAGTCCTTCAGCCGCGTTTCTACGTTGCTCAGCAAGGATGGTATGAGCTCTGTGCCTGGATGGTTGGATCTCGCCAAGTGGACCTGCTTTGGTCTCTACTTCCTGCTTGAGGATTTGACTATCGTAAGTGGACGAAATGTCTTGGCAAGAATGTGGTTTCTGTATGTCCCATGCTAATACCGTGCAGCTACACGCTATGGACGTCTACCTTGTCCCCTGGGAAGCGCGAGTAATGAAAGAGGCAAACACTTTTTGGTTCTACGCTCTATCGTTCTCTCTCGCCGGAGCTTTTTACGGCTTGCTGTTCTCTGCATCTGCAGATTCAGCACCCAAGGCAAAGGACCAAAAGGAAAAGAAGAACGGCACTAAGGCTGAGAAGGAAAAGCCTGAGCCAGTTGCCAATGAGAAGGCCAATGCCACTAAGACTACTGCTTTGGTACGACAGATTGTGGTTGAGGGCTGTGACTTGGTGCTTCCCATTACGCTTTTGAGCTGGGTGCACACGCCGGACTTGGTGGTCGGCTTGACGATGGTGGTGAGCACCGTCCTGACTGGTCGCGAGATTTGGAAGAAAGTGTGATTTTGGGAGATGAGGGGAGCACAAATTGTAGACATATTTAGATCATAGATAGGTTAGACTCTTGTTCTCAAACAGAAGTTGGCACGGTTGGATTTGGTTTAATCCAGTGGGTGTGCACCCAGGTTTCGATAGCCGTCGTCCCCGAGATATATTTTCGGAGTATCGGGTACGTAGTGAGAGGTGGGAACTTAGAACGAGAATCATTGGTTTTGGGTTATCACCTTCATCACGTTAGATATCCATAAGTCCTGTCTTAAATGTCCTGTTGTTTGATGATGCGTATTTGATCGAGAACAAAATGGAAAGCAGAATCCCGCTTGGGGAACTTTGTAGTGACCTACAGCCACCCTTCAACCATTTTACTGTAAAAATTAACCTCGATTTTTGTGCAAGCCAATCTCAATTTCGGACAAAAACAATCTCGCCAGACCCACTATCAGTCTAGTAAAAGAAAATAAAAATAAAAAAGAAAGCTGGACTCGCGGGGAATCGAACCCCGGACCACTCCCATGCTAAGGGAGTATTATACCACTAAACCACAAGCCCAGTTGTATATTAGGCTGCGAGAGAAAATGCTACATCAATGAGATCATTAAGCTGAATATCTCATAGGGAAGGTTCAGGGCTCGGGCTGTGTACTAGGGATTCCTATGTGCACACCAGTCCGCATAGATGCTATAAAGCGGCATTTCTTTTGTCAAAAGGGCGGATGTCAATCTGAACGGGAGAGTAAGTGAGATTCTTGGCTTGCAAAGATGCCTGCGGATCATTTTACATCTGGTCAAGTGTGTCAGCCCTGGACGTTTCTCTCTACAACAAAGTTAAATTTGAAGTTCAGAGAGCGAGAGTACGTTTGGAAGAGGTTTCTGAGGGGAGCGGTAGTTCTGCCAGCCAGGTGACAACCTCTATAGTAATCATATTGATACCTGTCAAGCATTAGTGCAAGAAATGTATTGGTAGATACAGCCTTCAAATACGTCATCTGATAGAACGAACACTTCGTGTTATAATCTCCCAATTCCCACCAGTGTACTCCGCCCCGAACTCAAATTCGTCGATTGTTACCTTCAGAATGACAATCCGAGAAGCAAGGCGCAGCCCTGCAAATACGAGGTGTACTATCACTCGCCGACAGCCAAACTTTATTAGCATGTCAGATCTGGCGTTGCCCTGTGGCGACCCCGAGAATCGTTCGATTGCGCCCCACGGAGAAATCCACGGGTGCCCGTCCCGATTAGGCAACTCTCGTATCCGCAGTTCGATCCACGATGAAATGGACGAGCCGACCCCAGTATATAAAGAAGGATATACTTGAACATGGCGAGACTAGTTCCCATTTCAAATCATAATCCACCATGTCTACGACTACACTGACCACCAAATCTGATATGCTCTACTCGGAGAAAGAGGCTCGCGCCTCTCTATCCGCAAGTAGTTCGAGTACCCTATATACCCTCAATGACCAGTCACCCTTCCACGCCGACCGAACTCTTCTCATCGACGCTCGCGGGATCGGCTGTTTCCGACTCCCAATTCCCAATCGCCAGCTCGAAATCGCCATCACCCATCCCGACGGCCGTCCGGCGTACGTCTCCACGCGCGACCGGCTCTGGTCCGGGAATAGCCTGCTCTCCCACCAGAAACTCGGAGAGTCGATTCGGACGGAGTACTTTTTCGGTCCGAATCGGGATCCCGTGTTGCATTTGCTGCAGAGCTCGAGTGGGGATGCGGAAGAGATCCGACTCCGTGGGGAATGGACTTCGCGCTCGACCCGCTGGACGACCCCCTCGGGGAGTGAGTTGCGATGGTCGTATGCGAAAGAGAAGCGTCCTGATGGTCACAAGATCAATCTGATCGTTCTGAGTGTGATAGAGTACTCGGATGGTGATCGCAAAGGATCGCAGACATCGGAGCGTCGGCTGGCGCAGCTTGTGCGATGCGCGGAGACGAGGACTCCGCAGACATCCAGGTGTTCTGCGGGCAACGGGGGGACGTTGCAGATGGACGAGGAGGCGTTGCGGGCAGCTGGGATTGACGAGTCCGTCGTGGTGGCGACGTGTCTGGTAATGTTGAAGAAAGAGGTGGACCGGCGTCGGCTGATTCAAATGATGGTGATGTCTGGGGCTGCGAGTGGGTGATCTTGAGCATGGAGTTTTTGATTGGCAAAGTATGATGGAGACGGGTACTTGGTTCGTTTTTCCCAGATTGTATTTCTAGTAGCTGTGATTTGGGTATTTCTTCCAATCTGCCGGTATCTATCTCTAATCCATCATTCAACCGTGGTATCTTCGTTGTGTGTATATATAAGTGTAATATGATCAGGTACCCCCCCCCCCCAACTGCCTAGGGAACCTTCAGGGAACCTGCCCCGCCTTGCATCGTCATCATCCCCCACTTCCGTCTTCCATTTACTTGCGCTCATTCAACAATTCCACAATGTGAGCGTTCAACCAATACCCCTCCAATTCCTCCGGATCCATCGTCTTGGCCCCCGAGATCCAACCCCGACATTCACGGGCGCCACAGGTACACTGGAACGGCTGGTCCATCTCCCACTCCGAACTCGGGTAGAAGAAGGTCAAGGCATCTCCGGCCTTGAGCGGCTTATCGTCCACGACCCGCACTTCCATCCGGGCCATGTCGAACACGAGCGAGGGGGCACAGGAGTGGTTGCAGAAGACCAGGTCGGAGTTGAGCTCGATGTGGGAGTCGCGTCCCGTTTGGACGCTCGTGTAGGCCTTGTGCCCCGGGGTGGTGCCGGTGATTGGGGCGAAGACGGCGCCGGCGGGGAGATCGATGAGGGAGTAGGCACCGCTGCCAAAGGCTTTGGTACTGCGATTGACGCGGAGACGATCGGGATGGGTCGGGAGGGGTTCGGTGACGGGGACGGCTGAAGGCATCGTGTGGAGGTGGAGGAGGAGGAGACGAAGAAGTATAGAGAGATAGAGTTGGAGATTGATAAATGGGAGGTTGATGAGTAGTAAGGAGAACGAAAACGGTAAACTATCGAGTCGACTGGGATGAATACCGGATTCGGGGCATCCTTTTATACTTGGCTTCTCTGCCTCGTTCTCCCTTTCAACCGAGGGCGATTGACTTTCCCCAGTGGGTCGAGTTTCAGGCCATCACGTAGTTTGACTTTGTCGAATCTAGGGTAGACCCGAGTCTATCTCTGGATGCACGATGGTACGATGGTACGATGGTACGTTTATGGAGAATAGGTATGATGACAACCGGAGGATTTACATGCCTCTGGTAGATCATCACGAATAGTCCTCTTAATGAAACCTATACGAAATGCCTCTTATCCCACAATTCCAGCCAACTTCCTCCAGCCAAGCCTCTTCTTTTCCCGCGATTTCCCCTCGGGCGCCCGCCAGGCCGAGGCAAACCGTCCCAGGAACCGGGGTCACTGAACCGTAGTACGGCGTCAACGGACAGATGATCAGCATGACGGAAGACGGGGCAACTAGACTAAACTCATTAGGCTCTCCGGATGGGCGCTAGGAATCTTCTAGCGGCGGATCGGGTGACACATGGGAACAGGATGCTGGAAACGGAAGAAGGTCCGGTCACATGCAAGAAACGGGCAATCCTCCTCCACCTGACGATATACACAATCTCCATCCTTCTTTTGCATGCTCGCTATACTCGCTATGCTACGCTTAATTCAGCTTTCGGACCAACTCTGCCCCATTCAACCATCGCTCCAGATTCTCCGCTACTTCCCGGTACCAACCATGCAACAGATCCTCCTCACCATACCCCATCTGCCGATTGAACTGGATTAGTCTCCCGTGTGATATACGCTTGATCAAGAATTTCCCAACTTACATGTGGGGATAATAACACCTCACTCCGCCCCTCCTGGCCCCACGGGGTCGTGCGCCATGGACTGTCCAACGGCAACGGCTCTGGATCGAACACGTCCAGCGCTGCGCCTCGAATGCGACCGGCCCGTAACGTGTCCAACAACGCGGACTCGTCAATCAACGGGCCCCGCGAGGTATTAATGATCAAAGCCTGCGGCTTCATCCGAGCCAGATCGCCCGCCCCGACAATCCCGCGACTGCGATCGGACAAAACACTGTGCACCGAGAGGACGTCCGCCTGCGCAAAGAAATCCGCCTTGGAGGGAGCCACCACGAAGCTGCCCGCCGGCAAACCCTGCGCCCGCGCCTGCTCGTCGGCCTTGTCCTGGGTCAAATTGGTCGACCACGCGAGAACGTGCATGCCAAAGGCCTGTACCGCAATCTTGCCCACCTGTGACCCCAGCTTCCCCAGACCCAGCAGACCTAATTGTTTCCCGGACAGCGTCATCCCGAGAGATCCCTGCCACCCACCGGCTTTGACCGCTGCATCGTCCCGAGCGACGTGTCGCGCCAATCCCAGAATCAACGCCCACGTATGCTGCACCGTCGAGTTGACGCCCGGGGGTCTCCCCTCCGTGCCCGCGACGGTGACACCGTGCTGGGTGAGGGCGTCGAGGTCGAGTGCGAGATTGCGCGTGCCCGTCGTCAAGAGGAGTTTGAGGTTGGGCAGGGCGGTGATGGTGGATGCGGGGAACGGGGTGCGCTCGCGCATGGCGAGGATCGCGTCGAAAGGGAGGAGGCGTTGGATCAGGGCATCTTGTTGAATTGGATCGCGGGGGTCGAGCGTGTCGGGGAAACAGCTGATGTCAACGCGGTCTTCCAGGTGGGCGAAATGGGCGTGGGCAATGTCTTGGTAGTCATCAAGAATGGCGAATTTAGGTTTGGACGCCATGGTGGGGTGGCAAGTGAAAGGGAGACGTAGTGATGGAGAGAGAAAGAGGTGGAGGGGGTCAACGGTATCTCGAGGTTAATGATGAACCCCGCCTGTGGGGAAGAAAAGCGTAGCTTGTCAAGGTCGAGTATCGAGGGCACAACCAGCGGCACAACCAAGTGCCGATGAATGCTAGAAAGCCAATTTCGTAGTCGATTATTAAGACGAAAGTCTAGTCAGTTAGTTCCACTAACATCAGTGAAATTGTGCGGGATGTCGTGCTCTTTCAGTCGGGTATATTTCATCCGGGGCGGCCGAGGTCATTGCCGATAAGAAGATCCGCATGGAAGACCCGAAGAGGTTGAAAACCGAGGCAGGTCTACAATGACAGTCTCAGTGGCTATTTGTCAAATTGACTAGTATATATTGTCTTCGCACCGTTGTCGTGTTTGCATCTCACGTATTTACTTGCTCCAGCTTGGAGTGTTCCCCTGCCACATACAGCTTGATGACTACGAGGTCCTCTTCTTGTATCGCGAAGAATCACAGAGTCAGTCGCCATAAATTGGAATGGTGGACTGATATGGTCTAAAGTCAATGTCATATCGTGCTTATATTATATGCTGCGCCTCCAGGTCCATGTTCATCTAGCATCCCATTCTACCATCTCGGAAATTGTCGTAGATGCTTCCCACCTATTGAATAGGCCTCGGCTCTCGAATCATTAGTACAAACGACTCTCGACCTTGTCCTCCGTACTTTGCCCGATCGAGATGCACCTCTTCAACGGGCTTCCACCCATGCTTGATATACACTGGATAGCCCTCCCCCGTAGCCTCCAAGTATATGCGTGCCTGCCATTCATCCGCCTTGGCCGTGCCCCAGCGCAAGAGGGTCGATCCGAATCCCAGTCTTTGATAAGCCGGTAGCGTGGCCAGTAGATCCAGCACTATCTAGGTTAATCATCACTTCCACAATATACCAAACGTGCGACATGGAGACTCGAAGAAAACGGGGGTAACGCTTACTCATATCCTTCTCCGTAACGTGCTTCTTCCGACATTCCTCCAACAACCCCCGAAACGCCGCATAAAGCGGTTCGTTCATCGGGCGCGGTGAAAATTGCAAAAAGTCTCGCGCGGCTTCTTGCGCCTGCTCGCTCAATACGGGCAAATTCGTTCGCGGGTACAGCGATTCGGGAATGTGCCATCGCGCATAGCCTACCGTGACCCCGCGGATAGGGTCGGCGACCTTGAGGACGTGCATTTGCGGGTTGGCGAGGTGCTTCATCGTGTAGATGGCTTTGTAGGCTTGGAGCCCCTCCTGGCTCGTTTCAGGGAAGACTTGCGATAAGAAGCCGCGGCCTTGGAAACTCAGCGTGTTGATTTTCGCGAGGGAGGGGGCGTCGCTTTCCTCGGCGTAAAGTATGTGGAATGCCATGGTGAGATGTTAGGTTTGATCAAAGGTTGAGGGGTCTTGGAAGAGGAATTGAAGCTGAAAGGTTCCAGGACTAGTGATTGAATTTGTTTTTGAAGAGGAAAAGTGTTACTCTGACTGAGTGAGACTAAGATCGTGTCATTGCGGGGACTCTTTCGGGAAGTGACTAACTCGGGTAGGGCGCAAGTTAGGGCGTAACTAGTGTTGCTACATCGCGGGACTGCCTTGTATGTATAGTATGTTCAACGGCTATCTAAGAGATTAGTTTCGCTCGTGGTTATCGCCTCTCTACATAGGGTTCAACGACATGGCAAATAACATGAAAACTAGGCACGATTCGAGAAGTATGATGAGAGTACGAGGATCTGGTATGGTATACTTCTACCCCGCACCGAATTGGAGAGCCTTGGACGACGTCTTGGACCCACTCGATTTCGCAAGAGCTCTCGTGAGGGTAGAAAAGGGGCTCGATATTGCTTTCTCGCGTCGGATATATGAGTGCTAGGAAAAAGAAGACAGATTAAGCAACCATTGGTGTCTTGTTGAGCCCAGTCGAGAATCTATTATGGGCGTGTCCTCGGCGATTATTTCTACGTTAAAGAGAGTCCTTCCTTTTTGCTTCCTTCCTGACTGCTAGGCTGGGGTATTCACAAAGTATATCCGAGACGTCCCTGACTCTCCTTCGATAAATGACGTGAGAGGCATCACAGTCTTTGCTTGATAAAGTCCACCACGTCCTGATCATATTTGGCAACGTAGGCATGATGGGCCGAATTGTTGTCAAGAGGAAAAGGTGAACAGACTACAATGCAACCAACTAATGTTAGATTGAAACTCGGCAATTGGAGGAAGTGATCGCATTACTCACACTGACTATTGCCAATGTCACCATAACTGTGAATAGATGAAGCGAAAGGCTCACATGTCTAGGGTGCCAGACGAGGAAACGTCTAATGTCCGGAGTTAGTACACCTCGACATATCTATGAAGGGTTCCCTGCTGTCACGCACTCCGAGTACAATCTCGCATGAGCCCACGTTTTATGACTGCAGTGGAACAAAGGTTTCGTCCACGTATGCAATCACAGCAACCCCTGCACAGATCAGTCAAATTTTCTGAAATTCCGAACAAGGGCCGGCATTATCTAATACCGTTGGAGGCATATGGCTTACTTCTAAACCGAATCCTAAGATTGCTTATATCTTGGTGCGATAGGGCTGGGTGTATGCCTCGCTCTTCCAGGGGTTTGATTGTGATCGACAGATTCGGGTCCGACCTGTCTTTGGGGCCTATTGGACTTGATCAGTCGGTGAGACTTCGGCTTTCCACCGCAATTCTACTATATTACTGTTTACCTCTTAAGTATGAATACGCCTAAGGTAAACTAGGTTAACCCTGTCGTATTGATTGCTGCCCAGAAGTACATCGACGGATTAGCAATTCAAGTAACCGACTTATGATGAGGTAGACCTAATTCTCCATCATCACTGTTCGGAAGCTTTGTGAGATCTTGCGCTGCCTTTTGATCACATTTGTTTTGAATTCTGGTTTCTGATCCTCAAGCCCCGGCGTGAGACCGGGGGCAAGACTGACTGTCAAGACTTGCGATGCACGATTTGTAGATGAGTCTTAAGATTATCCCGTCGATTGAACTTCTTCCTGCAAGTCGATTCGGGGCATTTGAAATGGTTAGGGTGAACGTGCACATTTTGAATGTGTCGCTGTAACGTGGCTTTTCTTGGAAATTTGCCTGAAAAGGTGCAACCTTGCCAGCTACATACAAGCCCACCTACATCACTGACGAAAGTTAGAATCTTGCGTGACTGCGCGAGTTGTCTGGTATGGAAAGAGACACTTACTCGGATTTTTCTTTTTGGTACTGTGAATGAGAGGCCTGATCCTCAGGATAATCGAAATAGCGAGTGGACGCCATAGAGACTTTATCAAAATTTCCATCATGAGGAGTTGGTAATAAGTGGAGGTCCCCTGTGACATCGAATGCCTCTCCTGTGACATCAAATGCCTCTCCTGTGATATCAAATGCCTCTCCTGTGACATCGAATGCCTCTCCTGTGACATCAAACGCCTCTGCTGTGACATCAAATGCCTGATCTCCACTCCATGGCTGCCAAGAGTTGGAAATACCACCTTCTTGAAGCCCAAAGCTGCTCACATCATAATCCCCTTGGGCGGCAAAACCAGAAGGTCCTGTGAGATATGAGCTTGATGAAGGGTAGTTCCACGGCGTGAAACCCTCTGCTGAAATATGTTCTATTCCATTATAGAGTGGTGGGGGTTCTGGTCTTGTGTAGGGACACAATTGCTGATCGAGATCATCAATCCAGACTGTTCCCTCAGATGGTGTTCCATTTTCTTCAGGCAATGACCAATGCAATTCTGAGTCTGGGTAATGAAAAGAAAAGAGTTCGGAGGCCGAGTCACCCAAACTTTGAATGTATTCCGAATCGCCAGACGATGTGGCCATTGTGAAGCTGAGCTTTGACGGGACAAAGAAGAAACTGGAAACCCTTGAAGAGTAACATGTTAGGGAGGTGGTTTATTCTACACTATGGAAAGCACAAGAAACAACCAGAGTAAGAGAGACGGATTATCTCACGGACCTAGATCTTTCCTAAGAGGAAACCCACTAAAATCAGTCAGCCGTCCGGTCGGCATATCCCGTGGGATATACTTTAGAGACACCGATGGATATCTCACCGGATGCACGTTCAACCACCCGGGTTCAAAGTTGAAGAGGAATTTGAGGTGACCCGGGTTGAAATAGAAGGATAGACAGTGACCTAAGACTCGCTTCGAGACCTATGAGGGGGTCGACTGGGATTAGCAGGGCGGCCTGAACGCACAAGACGTATGTGACGAGGCGCAAGGACGCATATGCACGCCGACTTTGTACCTGTCCAATCAGTGCGCAATACGGATTCCTGCGCACCAATCAACGTTCCGCCGTCTAATACAGCAAATCAACTGGTAACGGTACTGACATATCCTGCCGTTGGTTGGTGAATTCCAAACCCGTCACGCAGAGGTGTGTAGTTTGAGGCGAAGCCACAATTGACGAAAGTCTAGGGCCAAGAGGAACAGTCACCGTGACTTTCCTGTTCCCTCAAATATTTGAGATCACTCCCCTCTCCAAGGGGAGCAAGACTGTCAATCCACTATCACCAATCCTACCCATGGACGACTCAGCCTGGGAGGCCCATAGGCCCGAGATTGAGCGTCTGTATCTCAAAGAGAAGATTACCCTTGACGAGTTGGTGAAGATAATGTGTGTCGAATATAAATTTAAAAAGACGTAAGCCACGTTCAATGCGATGCCACCAAGGTACTGCCAATTTACCCGTCTCTGACTCCACATCAAATAGGTCCAATGAATATCAGTCTCGGTTTCGAAAATGGAACGTCAGGAAACGATATGGAAAACGAATCTGGATCTACATTGACGGACAATTGAACAAAAGAAAGGGACGAGAAACTGACGTTTTTATCGACGGGGAACTCCAAATGCCTTGCAGAGTTCGACGGGAAATCGGAAGACAGGCTTTTCAATCGACAATCGATAGGATTCATTCTGGTAAGTGTGCGTCGATTAAAAAATGCAGTTATTGCACCGTTGACAACTGGTAGCGCCATCTCCAGACACCCCTCCAGGGGTGGTAGTATGCTCGCCTCGACCAAAGACAGAGAGCCTAGCATTGACAACAAAGTTACCCTGGAAGGAGTTCTCTTGTGAATATCCCTTCCACTTATACCCAGGTCAGTACTCGCGCTCTCGCGCAATTGTGCTTTCAGACTCACATTATGCAGAAACCCGTTCAGACATGCTCACTGGCGTTACAAAATCCATCTCGAATCATGTCAAGCAGGGGTTTCCCGGACTGCATCGAGAGCTCATACGGGCTCTGAACTCGGACCTCCCGGACTTTATCGGCTTGAAGAAAGTCAATCATGATCACACATCCTCACAGGCTGGTGAAGGGCAGGTACCAACGGAGATTTACCCTAGTTATGTTCTTCAAACTGACTTCATCCCTAGAGCGGCCGAGTATGACATTGAGCAGCTTCTCCGGATGACCATGTACTTGATTTCCAACAAGCTTTCCCTAAATGGACAGAGTGAGAGCCTCGATCGACAAAAATGCATTGCTGAAGAGGATCGCCTCTTGTTGGAATTTTTCGAAGTCTCGGAACTGTCTCGAACCCACGTATTTGAACGCCTGTTGTCAACTGCGCAACCATCTGCCTACGCTATCTTGGAGAGATTATTCCAATCTGCGATTCGGCTGCATGAACTGAGGACCATTGAGATGATGCTGCAGGGTGGAATGGACCCAGACCTACCCATCATCTACTTCAAATTTGAAAATGCGTTGATGGTATCACCCTTGGAGTTTGCTGCAGATCTCGAAAACAGAAAGGTGGCTCTTAAAATAACTCGTCTTTTGCTATCATTTCAGGCAAACATCAATACGTTCAAATGGAAGCCCACACTCCAGATAGCCCTTGAGGCCATGGGGATTGATCCTGAGCCCAGTCACCGGTTCCCAGGGGAGCGTTCCGCTGAAACTGAGAATTTGGAGCTTCTCCGTCTGGTTTTACAGTCCACCTCCCACATGGAAACACGTCTTAGGCGTTTTGGAAAGTCTGGTCCAACCGTCACAGCCCTTGGCCTCGCTGTGAGCCTAGGCCAGTTACGAGCAGCCAAGCTGCTGATTGATCATGGCGCGAACATATTCGCTGCCCAGCGCACTTACTTAGACAGTGATTGCCCCATCTTTCAGACCGACGCGCTTGGTCTAGCTGCCAAGGAAGGAAACGTTGCGATGATGTGCATGCTTCTTGAGGCGTCCGTACATGGGAGAGGTCAAAGCGCCCTGTCTTACGGCCTCATTCAATCCCTCATCCTGGCTGTGACTTTTAACCAAGAAGCGGCAGTGAAGATTCTTTTGAACGCAGGTGTTACTGTTCGTGATGCCGACAGCTTTCTTATGGCAAGAGATCCTGGTCAAAGGACACTCGTGAAGAGAGCTTTGGCTCAACAAAACCTGGACCTCTATCATACCCTGACATCTGCGGGGGCAGTACCCAATTGGCCGGCTGTTAGACATTGCTTCAGTCTCCAACTGTTTTGTGCAGTTAAACAGAATAATCTGCACGATGCAATAGATCTGTTGAGTTCAAAGACTTCACCGAATGATATCTACGACGATCTCCCAGATAGTGCCCTCGGGGCAGCCATTGCGCAAGGAAATTGTGAGCTCATCAAGCTTCTCACGATCGCAGGTGCTACCGCTGAAGAGCTTCGCATTCCATGCATCCCCAACATGGAAACAGCGTCCTGTCTGGAGGCAATTGGACTTCTTCAAATTATCCTGGTCAACAATGGTCAGATAGTACTGACCTGTGCCATTCTTCGCGCCCAAGAGGATGGATTGGTGGAGTATCTCTTAGGTCTTGGTGTGGACCAGCAGGGGATGAGACTTGGTCCTCTTACCACCTTCGACCATTGGCTGGACAACCTAAAAGTACCAGAATGTCGAACCCCGCTGGAGGCAGCCCTCACGCGACGAAATATGGTGCTGGCACAAACTCTCATCCACAGAGGTTCGCATGTTGCTGAGAATGAACTCAATGCAATCGTCTGGCAAGCTGTGACAACGGACAATGACGACATTGTTTGGCAACTCCTTGACATGTTTTCGACCCCTTTCCAGGCGCCGACTGCAGTGGGAATGGCAGTACTCTGGGGAAGAACCGAGCTTGTCCGGGCCCTCCTGAAATTTGGAATTGATCCGATGGGTCCCGTGTACATCACTGATCCTCCCGACGAAGGTGAAGAAATAACAAACCAAAATGCAGGTTGGTGGCATTTGGAAGCCGAAGAAGTTGCGCCATCCGTTCTGCAAGTCGCAGCGTCAAAGAGTGACCGCTCTATTCTACAGCTCCTTCTCGAATCGGCGAATTGGTCACAAGAAGATAAAAGCCGCGCTCTCACGGCATCTATATTTTGGAGAAATTTTGACCTTGTATCGGATTTGTTGGCAGCCGAAGCGAGCGTGAACCAGGGTATATTGGAGACATCTGCACTCTCTGATAAGTATGAGAGCATTTGTCAAGTAGTTCACGATGGATTTCTGAACTGACGTCCACTATAGGGTGAACACGGAAATGCTGCCTCTGCAACTTGCAGTTAATTCCGGGAATATTAAAATGGTGAAGCTCCTTCTTCAAAAAGGTGCGAGAATCAACCAAATCGAAGCAGGCGTCGGTGGGAAGACCGCTTTACAAATCGCAGCAAAGAACGGCAATATGGAGCTGCTCACTCTACTGCTGACCTCGGAAGCAGATGTGAACCACCCGCCTGCAACGCACATGGGGGCCACTGCGTTGCAATTTGCAGCTATCGAAGGTCGACTTGAAATTGTCTGCCGTCTTTTGGATCATGGAGCCGACGTCAATGCTTCGGGGTCGCAGACATTTGGACGAACCGCCTTGGAAGGAGCTGCAGAACGTGGTCATATCGATACACTGCAGGTTCTTCTCAATAACGGTGCCCAGATCGATGGTCTTGGCCGAGTGCAATTCGTTCGGAGTGTGAAACTAGCTGAGAGCAATGGTCATTTTGCTACCGCTATGTTTCTAAAATCGTCCGGCGGGTGGACGGAGGCGGATAGAACCCGCTATGATTATGAACGATTTGATGAGGAAGAGCATCTCGGTCCTTGCTTACACGGACCGATGGAGTGAGTTTTGGCATTTCTATGGCTTGCATTTTGTGAATATGGTACTGTAAATCAGAGCAAAAAATTGCCCAGTGAGTGGGTCGATTCGGAATATAGCTCTGTATTCGGATACATTGTTCTTATTATAGAGCGGAGGTAATCGAGCCGTTCTACGGTTTGAAAACTTCTTCGTATGCCGTTCTGCTTGGTCGGCCAGATCATCACTGACACGAAGGATGGGCCGTCACTCATGCGCGACTTGAAGCATACTAGCAAGTTTCTTTACAACTCAAGAAGAGTGTCAGATATCGAAAACTTAATATTAAATTCAGATACCTTTCAATTTGACCGGGTTCTTCCACGTTCTGCTTATTCGCAGGTATATGGGTCTACACTTTACAGGTCATCTAGTCAGGAACCGACAATCAGTCTTAAATGTACCGCGGGGGAGTAAATACGGTACTGATTTCTAGATATTCTCAATAATCAAGAAATAAATATTTACTAATACATCTGAATAACGCGGCCGCATCCCCCAACTATGGTAGGACGACTCCTCCTCGACCGTTGAAGCACCTGACTTGGTTGAGTGACGTCACCCCCGGCAAAAGCCTGGCCCTGGAAGCTTATTTTCTCCTCTCTCTTTTTCTCTTCGCCTTCACTTCACCTCTGATCATGATTTCATGACAGGTCCCTTGCCTAGGCGGATCTGTCTATCTGCATTTTTATTCGCTCAAGGTTGAACGCTTGGATTTAAACAACTCTAACCCTCGCCACCCTGGCCCACATCATCCCGATATTTCTCTCTGCATCAACTGGTTGTTCGCAGGCGTTCGCAGTGCTGATTCGGCATAGCGGCTTCTACCTTCCCCGCCGGTAGAAGCGGCCGCCCAATCGCTTCCTCAGACTTGGCCGTGTTTTTGACGGCCTCGATTCTCGACTCCCAGGTTTTGCAAACCTGCCAACTTTCCCTGGTGGGGGATAAGCAAATACCGAAAAATAAAGCACAAAGCCCGCCTGCGAGGCTGATTCAAGCCGCATCAACCCGCCCACCGTCCATCCATCCTTTTCTCTTCCCATGCCTTTTGCGATCGTGCGACCGGAGCGCCGCGATCTCTCCTCATCTGTGATTCGTTTCGGACCTTTCTCGCTTCCCCCCTCCCTTCTCGACCTTCAATCTTCTTATCGGCAGGGTTCCCAATCTGGCAGATAATCTCGATGGTTGCATAATTTTGACTCCTAGTCCTCTTTCGATCGTCTCGTAACCTGCCACCCGGCAGTGTAGGGAGAAACAAGATGGTTCTGGACCAGCAGATGCTCCACCTCAACCTCGAAGATCGCCGGCCCGTTAATTTCGCCAACGTCGTAACGCCACCCGCCGATTCTGAGATTAATACCCACGACAAAGCCGCAGCATCCTCTCTGCATGACCGCGACACTAGCACAACGCTGTTCAGTTCCAGCGCCGCCACGACTAATGACCCTATGAGTCGAATTTATCGTCACACGCCGACTCCGACAATCGTGCTTGATGGCTCGCTTCGTATCATCCAAGCATCCGACAGCCACTTGGCTTTTTTCAATTACAGGCGAGAAGAACTACTGGGTACTAGCATCTACGACTTATCCCCGCATATCGTTCCGGCACCGGATATCGCATCGCTGAGTGGCGCGCTGGGCGCTGCCATCACGGCGCGTACCTCACAAGTCATCCGTCCCGTTCATGTGGTCAAGCAGAATGTCGACTTTTCTCTCCGGGTAACACCAATCTTCGAAGAAGATACCCTGATCTATGTGCTGCTCGAAGCGCATTCCGTGGGGGACGAACAGCCCAAAACGAAAATTAGCGAACAAACCTACCTCAACGAGACCTACAAGATCCTCATCAACACCGTGAAGGACTATGCAATCTTCATGTTAGACACTCGGGGCCATATTGCTACGTGGAATGCCGGGGCCTCCATCTTGAAGGGCTACACCACGGACGAAATCATCGGGAAGCATTTTTCCATCTTCTACGGACAAGACGATCGGCAGGCAAATAAACCGGCACGAGAGCTCGAAGTCTGTCTGCGAAACGGTAAAGTGGAAGACGAAGGATGGCGCTATCGGAAGGACGGGGGACGCTTCTGGGCGAACGTGATGATTACCCCTATCTATCAATTCGGTCGACATGTCGGGTTTGTCAAAGTCACCCGCGATCTCACCGAACGCAGAGCCGCCGAAGCTCGGCTGATCGAAGCATTTGAAGAGTCGTCAAAACTCAAGACTGAATTCTTGGCCAATATGTCGCACGAATTGCGAACCCCCATGAACGGAATGCTGCTTGCGCTGACGATGTTGATGAGAACGCCGTTGACGAACGATCAGCAAGAGTATGCGTCCATTTTGGAAGACTCGACCACGATTCTACTTCAGGTCATCAACGACGTACTGGACTATTCCAAATTGTCATCCGGGTCGTTCTCTCTCAATACAGACGTGTTGAACATACCTAACGTTGTGAACGCGGTCATTCGCAATTGCCAACCCTCTCTTAAATCGGGAGTGGTTCTGGAAAGCGTTATTGCTTCGAATTTCCCTAAAAATATCAGGGGCGATCCACTACGATTCCGCCAAGTCCTGCAGAACTTAGTGGGTAATGCCGTAAAGTTCACCGAGAAGGGTTACATCTATGTTAAAGCATCGTGCTCGGTTGATCCAGATGATCCTCGGTCGTATATTGTCTCTGTTCAAGTCGAAGACTCCGGTATTGGCGTACCCGAGGCCGCGATTAACACGCTTTTCACACCCTTCACGCGATTTGCAGACTCGGCAACACGTCGCTACCAGGGGACGGGACTGGGACTTTCCATCTGCAAGAGCTTGGCAGAATTGATGGACGGCGCTGTGGGATTTCATGCCAACCCAGAACGATCTGGTAGTGTGTTTTGGATCTCGGCCAAGATGGGCCGCATCGACCGGTCGACCGTCAGAATCCCCAAGAGCGTCAAACCGTCAATTCAGGGATCAACCGCTGTGGATACCTCTGCCCTGCTGCGGAAGGTGGCCCCCCAGAAGCAGATCTTGCTGGTCGAAGACAACAAGGTCAATCAAACGATCATGCTTAAGCTTCTGGCAACTCTCGGTTTCGAGAAAGTGGATGCCGCCTGGGACGGCGCAGAGGCTGTTCGGATAGTCAAGCAAAAGCCGTTGGCATATCATCTGATTTTGATGGATATCAACATGCCGGTGATGGATGGCCTAATGGCGACCGAACAAATTCGACAAATGGCGGTGGACGTCCCTATCATTGCTTTGACTGGGAATGCACTGAAGGGTGATGCCGAGACTTACCTTGCTAAAGGAATGAACGATTATATTGCCAAGCCTTTGCATCGACAGCAGTTGGTGGATATTTTGTGGAAATGGTGCGGATCTGAGAATGTCGGCACTTGACTCACGCATGGTCAAATATTTTCGAATTTATCCCCAAAACACGTGCCTGTTGATCAGAGGCCCCTCGATTGCATCCCCATCGCAAGCCCGACGCGATATACCGACCATCCGCTACTTTGCGCTACCCCGCATGCAGGGTCCTGGAGAGCAGATCACACGAGATGTCTGTGCAAGATTCTTTCCGCCCGGTCCACAACAGGGTCTTGCATGATGCACTCTGCATCACACTGTGATTCGCACTGCGTCAGGCGCTGGGCCCCCTCTTTGTCCTAAAAGTGGAGGTAGCGAATGTCGAACAGGCGCAAACCAATATTTTATGGAGCCTTGACTTCAATCCGAACTCACGTTTTTCCAGGAGGCCTGGAATTCTCCCAAGCGGTTTGGCTGGAAATATCAGATTAGGATTAACTAGGATCAACAAAGCCAAGTCTCGGCAGGGGAGAGGAGAGCGCGGCTGGAGGCTCTTCTGACCATCAGGAGTTGTGCAACCAAAATCCCAGGGAACGGGTTCGCCGCAGAAACCATCGGTGACGGCCCCCGATGATAGGCATTGGGCTCATTTGGGAGCATTTTGGCTGTTTTTAGCTTTCTGTTTCCGTTCAAGGTGCACACTACGGAGGACCCTCACGCCACCGGTGCTTATCCTTGTATCCCCTGGTATCCTATGCCCAGCCCCGAAGGAGGTTAATTTCTCCTCGCATGAAGCGGTCGGTGGACGGGACAGAATGGTTTCCTAACCAAGAATCCCAAGTATCTCAAATCTCACACTTTGCTCCATTGAGTCAATTTAGGTCACCTTTGAGCCTTTCCACTGAGACGAGACCTTCCATATGGGATGTGGTGGCATGGATATGGTGACGCGGGGGAAGTGGAGCTTAGCTCATTATGCCGAACCCAGTCTGGAGTCTTTACGGAGCATAGTTACTATATCGGGTCAAGGACGTGTTCTATCCAGCGGCAGTTGTTACCACTACCAGCTAGTCGTACGAGTCGTAGGAGAGCCGACGGAGCACATGCGCCTCGGTAGATCTCAAGGGTTCCAGTGTAACCCGCCAATCCTTCTTTGCATGGAAATTCAAATCAACGGGGAGAAAAGGGATCGCCCTAGATCCCCCCTAATACCCCCGCTTTCCCTGCGCAGTATGTACTGTATGTACTCGAGGCTCTCCCCCTTTCCCTCGGTACCCGTGGACCAGTCCCTACAGCGGCATGGCCAATACCCCTGAAAGATGTCATGTCAGAAACCCCAGATCCACAGTGGGAAACGTGGTTCAGGGTATTATCAAGATCAACAGAAGAAGTGTCGTCATTGGTCTAACCGAAAGGATTCCAAACCCTGCGGATGAGGATGGGCGAAGAGAATTGCCTAATGCAGCTCAAGTGTCCCCACCAGGGAGCCGTTGATGTGGAGAGTCCGCCAGGTCAGGGAAACCTTGTTGAATTCGTAACCAATGATTGTCATTCGAGCACCGGACATTCGAAGCTGTGGCTCCTGGGTCATAGAGAACTCCACCCGTTGCTGCTGGACGGGGTAGTTTGTTGGTTCTCCACTACTACTCCAAATGATCCCAACTGATTGGTGCGCGTATTCAAGATGAGGAGTAACTACAACATTAAGGCCAATCTCCAGGAAGAACGATGGATGTGCGGTATGATTCTCGTGTGAACCCTTCAGCCGACGTGAATATTTCCTCAGGAGACATGATGAACGTTGGCTAAACCGGAAGCGATATGGCAGCTTTGTGTCCGTGGCCAAGGTTGACTGTCGGTAGAGAAGGAGTCGTACTGTGATTGTCGATGAATTCCCCCTTTCAGTCTTCTTAATATTGGCTTCACATGGGGCCGGCTTCTAAGGCTGCATTCTATACGGTGCTTATCTTCAAATGGCAATCCAGGGGAGTGACGATGATAGCAAGCTGACTCCTCATGCGTACGGTGTAATTCCTGAATATCCAATCCGGTCCACAAGATAACTCGTAGAATACTGCCGGGGACGGCTTCCTGCATCGAGAGGTCATGCTAGCAACGGACTAGCAATCTGCTAGTCCCGTCCAATCGGCAAGTCGCACTGCGAAGATGCAATAAAACCGTACAGTAAAATCCTCGCCTCAAGGTTAGAATACAAGAAGAGATTGAGGAGTATGAAGAAAGGCAACGGATAGCCATCACATGGTCCCTCATAGAGTCTCATCCGAGCAGGTGGAAGGCCGATTGATGGAACTTAATTCTTTGTCTTTTTCGCACAGCCTCGCTATCATGGTAATGTAGCACGGAAGACCATGGAGAAGAGAAGGAGCGTTGATGCTATTTGCCTCGCCCAGGAATCCGCTTGGTCAATTCCCGTTTGGTTTTCATCGCAAGGCCCAAGCATCACAGATCGACCGCTGGGATTGCTCAGCTGGGGAAGAATCCCTAGAAAAGCTAATCCACCAGCCCCAGATGCTCAAACTAAATGACCCGTTCCATACCCGCTTGCCATGCCGATCGTCGTTCCACACATGGAGTGGGAACTCCCTGGCCATGGCATGCTTAATCTGTGCGCTTAGTGCCCGTTTGAGGCTATTCATTGGCTGTAAGTCGTGCTTGGGGCCCGTTAGCTCACTACAGAAGAGGGTCCTTCCCCTCTCAGAAACAGGGAGAAAGGATATCGGGAGCCCTGACGAGAAGGGCAGTGTGCAAGAGGATCACGAGTGAGAGGTAATTCGAGTGGTATATAGGTACACTCCGGACCCCGAAGGATCGATTTCTCATTCTCCAACCTCCATTGTGTATGGAGTAACTGACTAGACCCCGGCCTCTCTTCTGTCATTGTGCTCTCCCCTGCAACGATGAAGTCTTCTATGCTGCTGCTCCTTGGAGCTGCAGCTGCCGCCATGGCTATGCCTGCCTCTCATGATTATGAAGTTCACGAACGCCGGGACTATATCCCCACTTCTTGGATCCAGAGCAAGAAGCTGGACGGTTCAACTACGCTCCCCATTCGAATTGGGCTGACGCAATCCAATCTGGACCGGGGTCATGATCTTCTCATGGAAATGTATGATGCAATCCATCGACCTTTGATTATACGCATGAAGTTTGGACTGACTGAACGGATATTCAAGTTCCAACCCATCGTCCAGCAGCTACGGGAGACATATGACAGAAGCAGAGGTGCATGACTTCTTCGCGCCCAGTCAGGATACGGTCGACAGCGTACGATCGTGGCTGGAGTCATCCGGAATTGCAGTGGACCGCATCAGCCACTCGGCCAATAAACAGTGGTTGCAATTCGACGCGAACGCTGATGAACTAGAGAATCTGCTCCGAACCGAGTATTATCTCTACTCTCATGCCGAGACTGGTCGATCTCACATTGCTTGCCGCGAGTATGTTTGAACCCATTCTGACTCTAGTATAGAATCTAGTGTATCATAGCTAATATGAATATCCACCAGGTATCACCTCCCTCGCTCGGTTCGGGAGCACATCGACTTCATTACTCCTGGCATCACACTCCGAGAGGTGACGGGCGTCGCCCAGGCTGACAAGCGTGACCTTGAGAAGCGTCGCATCAATGGAACACCAGCGAGTATCTTGCCAATCGCACAGACTCTCTTGGAAAAACTGCTTGGTGGGTTGGGGCTGTTGGATCTCTGCGACTTGGCCGTGACTCCTGACTGCATTCAGAGTAAGTGATGTTCCAATCATATTCTTCTTGGATCAAGAAGTTCACCCGCTAACTTGTCAATCATAGAGATGTACAACATTCCCAAGGGAACCAGAGCCACTCCTGGCAACGAGCTCGCTATCTTCGAAAGCATTGCCGATGTCTATGCCCAGGAGGACCTTGATCTTTTCTTTAGCACTTTCTCAAGGTATATAGTTCTACTCCCCCAAGCCTGACAGACGTGGAACTGACCCTCCGTGAAGCAACATCCCAACTGGCACCCACCCAAAGCTACAGGGCGTCGATGGCGGTGCGGCCCCGACCTCCGTTGCTGCTGCCGGTCCCGAATCGGACTTGGACTTCCAAATCTCATACCCGATTATCTGGCCCCAGAACTCCATTCTCTTCCAGTCTGATGACATGGTCTACGAGAACAACTACACCTTCCAGGGATTCCTCAACACCTTCTTGGATTCCATTGATGGCTCGTACTGTAGCCAAGTCTCCCCTCTCGATCCTCCGTACCCAGACCCCCAGCCGGGCGGCTACAAGGGCCCCCTGCAGTGCGGTGTCTACAACAAGCCCACCGTTCTGTCGGTCTCGTACGGTGAAGCCGAGGCTGATCTCCCCATTGCCTACCAGCGTCGCCAATGCAGCGAGTTCATGAAGCTGGGTATGCAGGGTATGTCCGTGGTGGTGGCCTCTGGGGACTCGGGCGTGGCCGGTCGCGGTGGGGATCCCACCCCCAGCAACTGCTTGGGTGAAAATGGCAAGGTTTTTGCCCCGGATTTCCCGGCCTCGTGCCCCTACTTGACTGCCGTCGGTGCCACCGTCATCCCCACGGGTGCTTCGGCCGATTCGCACCAGGAAGTGGCCGTCACCCGGTTCCCCTCTGGCGGCGGTTTCAGCAATATCTATGAACGACCCGACTATCAGTCGCAAGCGGTGGCCGACTACTTCTCCAAGGCCGATCCCAACTACCCCTACTACGAGAGTGTCAACAACAACAGCTTTGGCGCGAACGGAGGCATCTACAACCGTATCGGCCGTGGCTATCCCGACGTCTCGGCTATTGGCGATAACGTGGTCATTTACAACAAGCTGATCCCCACTTCCATTGGGGGTACCTCGGCCTCGGCTCCGGTCTTTGCCGCGATTCTGACTCGGATTAACGAGGAGCGACTGGCTGCCGGCAAGCCGACCGTGGGATTCGTCAACCCGGTGCTTTATGCCCACCCGGAGGCCTTTTACGACGTGACCCAGGGCACCAATGCTGGCTGTGGCACGAATGGGTTCAGTGCCGCTGAGGGGTGGGATCCAGTGACGGGGATGGGTACACCGAACTACCCAGCTTTGTTGAAGGTCTTTATGAATCAGTAGAGCAGGTAGGACTCTGGGAGATCCCCTGCCTCCATCGCATAATTTGAACCAATTAGCTGGAATTATGACTTAGTCTAGCTCAATGCATACCCTTTTTTATGGATCCTTTGGACCTGTTACTCAAACCTGTGAGTACAATATGTATATATGCAAGGGGTCGTCCAGATGTCGCGTCCCGAGTCCGACCAGTGCGGCATGGGTTGGGTTATTGCGAGCCGACTTATCGGAGAGGCCCATGTGTATACGAAGTACTAGAGAAGAAAGCAGAGGCTAGAAAAGCACCAACCGGAGGAGATGCGAGGCCGGAGCGATCGAGCCGACTAGACCGGCGATGCTCCGAGAGGGGCCCCGAGGGGCCGAATGTACCGCAGTAATATGGAGTAGTTTATGGAATATGGAGTCCATGCAAAACAAGAAAAGTAGTGAAAGGTGCTTCAAACGACCGGTATGAATTGTCGTGTAACGTACCAAAGCCAATCGAACGATGTTGATGCATTGTCGCCCAAGCCCTGGGATGCCCCTCGCTAGACCAAATCGGGTGCCCGAATGGCCTCGACGAGATGATCTCCAAGTCCGTTCCCAAGGTACGGGGCAAACAAGCTACCATCAATGTGCCATCAATGTGACTACCGTGAAAGCCTTAACCATGGAAACTCCGCCACGAGTAATTACTCGTGGGGGTCCGGTAACAACCAGAGGACCCAAAAGGCCACGGATAAATCGCGGAGAATTAAATAATTCAAGATGACATCACAAATTACTCAGCAGAGCAGCTGTGGGGGGACGGATTCGAGGGGTTTTTTTGGGGATTTCGAATTGGAGAAGAAGGTCCAGCCCGATGGCTCAATGAAGAGTCGCATCGAGCCGATAGACTTTTCGTGATCACCTTGAGCACCTTAAGCCTCGAAATCAAGGAAATGACTACCTATCCAAAGCAAATCGAGGTATACGACACTCAGACTTGACACTAATGGCCCTCCAACTAGGAAGTACAGGAAGGACCCTGAGAGCGTGATGCTTTGCAAGGTCGTGAGAGTCGGTGGAGTCTGCTCCGCAGGTGGACGAGGAACCCCGCCGGAGAAAAGAAGTCCACGTTGCGCGGGTCCGAGTTTCGAGATGCTGTCATGGACGGTTCGTTGTTGCAGTGGATAAGAAAAAAAAATAGTTAGCAAACGGGAGCAAGACGTATTTAAGGGGCGCATCCCCGCCGTAACCTGCATTCTTCTATTTTGCAACTTCTCAACTTCTACTCTCCAATTTGTCCCTCCCCGCACCCTCTACGAATACCTCCAATCGTCCACCATGTCTCTCGGCAAGAAGGTTACTCTTAACACCGGTGCCCAGATCCCGTACGTGCCCTAGCATGATGATTGCGTGCGCCTGAGCCTTTGTCACTAACGCGCCAATCCAGCCAGCTGGGCTTTGGTACCTGGCAGTCCGCTCCCGGTCAGGTCGGCGAAGCCGTCTACGAGGCCCTGAAGGCCGGTTACCGCCACTTGGTATGCTCCGTGATCTGTCGAGTGCAGACGGGTCAATGCTAACAACAATCGCTAGGATCTCGCTACTATGTACGAATGCGCCCCTTCCATTGCCATCCCGAATGAACAACTGCCCAATCGCATTCGCTATTGTCCATGGAATACAATATACTGACATGTGGTGTCGCGATGTAGCTACCAGAACCAGCGTGAGGTTGCCGCCGGTCTCAAGCGCGCTTTCCAGGACGTCCCCGGCCTGAAGCGTGAGGACCTTTTCATTGTGAGTATTTTTTCGGCCGGAGAGATCGGACTTTATCAATCACAGTTTGTTTTGCTAACTTGCTATTCTCTCTACAATAGACCTCCAAGCTGTGGAACAGGTACTTGATGAGAAACCAGGTGGATATTTGAGATGGCGAATCGATTCTAATTGCATACAGCCAGCACCGCCCCGAGGTTGTCGAGGCCTCCCTGGATGCCTGCCTCGCTGAGCTTGAGCTTGACTACCTGGATGTGCGTACCGTTGTCCGGACGGAGATCAAAACTTCCCCACCACCGGAGAATAGACTGCTGACAATATCTAGCTCTACCTGGTCCACTGGCCCGTTGCTTTCCAGAAGGGCGAGTCTTACTTCCCTCTCGTCGAGGGCAGCACCGTTGAGGGCGGTGATGTGGTCATTGACGATGGCGTTTCCATCGTTGACACCTGGAAGGGTGAGTGGAATAGACTCTGGTGTTGGGACCGGTGTGCAAGGCGTTTTGAACTAACCTTTGTGTGATTTTTTCACGATAGCCATGACCCAGCTCCCCAAGAGCAAGGCCCGCGCTGTCGGTGTCTCCAACCACACTATCCCCCACCTTGAGGCTATCATCAACGGCACCGGTGTTGTGCCCGCTGCCAACCAGATCGAGCGCCACCCCGTTCTGCAGAGCAACGACTTGATCGAGTACTGCCAGAAGAAGGGCATTCACGTTACTGCCTACTCCGTACGTGATGACCCAAAACTCCATTCCAACCCTTTGAAAATGCTAATCTAATCACATCATCAGGCCTTCGGTAACAACATGCTCAACATCCCTCTCCTCATCACACGCCCCGAGGTCAAGGAGGTCGCCGAGGCCGTTGCCAAGCGAACCGGCCAGGAGGTCACCCCTGCTCACGTTATCCTGGCCTGGTCCCAGGTTGGCGGTCACAGTGTGATCCCCAAGTCCGTGACCCCGTCGCGCATTCGTGACAACTTCAAGGAGATTGAGCTCACTGCCGAGGAGATTGAGAAAGTCAGCGCTCTGGGCAAGGACCGCAAGCGTTACAACACCCCTTACACTGCTAGTATGTTCTCTCTGCCCAAAACCTGCGCCCCCTTTATAAGGATCTCTTGAGAGGTATGGGTTACTAACTCATTGACCCTACAGACAAGCCCCGCTGGAACATCAACATCTTCGGCGAGCCCGAGGAGGCTCCTGCTGACCACAAGGTCATTGTTTAATTTTTGGCTATCCTTATTCCCCCAAAAATGCCCCCAAAAACGAATGAATGAGAAATGTACTTTCACACCGACAATTAAAATTTCGGACCTGTCCGCTTAGTAGATATTTACATTCGGGCTTCGCTTGAATCTTGAATAATAAACCTGCGTAAGCCAGGGTCTATCCGTGAGAATTTTAGGATATGACATGGAAATAAAACCAACGGGTATGTATTTCTGGTACGTTGAATGGAGGATGGCTCCAAGGCCTCTCTATCTCAAGCCTCCGAGTGTATTGGTCTTTGATGTGAGCTGAGCACTGGACCCGCATCTAATTCGTGATATTCACAAATGGGAGTGGAGGTAGTCGGCACTTCGTAGATTGACCGGCCATCTAGCTGCGCGGCAGGAGGGCCAACACGCTTCCGCGGGACGAGAGGCTTTAAACTCGGCAATGGCGACAAACTATTGTGAGAATTGGGTAGCTTTTCATCGATATTTACCACTGTGGGCGAGAGTGAAGCCATTGGCGGAACGTTACGATCTTTTCGACTCCGTCGCCCCCGTAGGAAGAACCATATGGCACAGAGTATCAGCAGTACTCCCAAGATGACGCCGACGGCAATGCCGCCTTTAGCAGCAGGGCCGAGGGAGGAACCGCTCGAGCCGGAGGCTACACATGAGTAACTCCCACGGTATACACCTTCAGACTGTAGGGTGTTCAGGGCACTGCAGGACATGGATTTTGAGCCTCGAATGGTTGTTTCCCCAGTCACCTCTTCAAGTGAAGGTAGTGACACGCTGTGATTGGATTGTCAGAGCTCTGCTCTTAACGCGCGGCGCATGCCTTGAAGCTCACCTTGTGAAAGACCCCGTCAGTTTTAGTTGACCCTCAACCTTTTCTAGATCGGCCACGCTGAGGGTCTTTAGTTTTGAATTGCCCGTAATAGTGATCCCAGAGGCAACGTCGGACAAGGCGCTCATTGTCAACGTGGTCAATGTGCTCAGATTGTCCAGTGTTAAGGCACCCTTGATTGTATCAAGATCAGGCATGATCAGACCGGTTAGTCCGGCAGCCCCTTCTGCGGTGAAGGATCCCTTAATCTCCTCGACATTGTTGAACGTGAGCGTCCCACTAGCAGAGGATGCAATGGTGACGCTACCATCGATACTGTCACAGTTGGCCAGGCTGTTGGCATCGCTTTGACTGGAGATGGTGACACTGCTTGAGCCTGAGTATATCGATCAGCAGGATGATTCAATTCAAGTTTTTAGAATGGATTTATTTGGAGCATAGCTCACGTACAGTTGTTGGAGTCCGCCATGACCAACTGCCACAGCCCGGCAACAATGGCAAGCAGATGAATCAGCATTTGCGCAACTGAGAAATTTCAGAAGCAAAGGTTTGCATGCTGGGCGTTAAGGCAACAGCATCTGGGATGTCGTTGTTATAGTAGCTAGCATTGGGGCGGAGTCGACTCTTTCCAAGATTGCATGGACGGCACTAAAGCTCGGGCATGTCGACCCACTCGCTGCTAAAGACCAAGCTAGAGCAGTCGTTGTTGGCGATGCAAGACTTGAAATGCTATCATTGGGTGGCGTCCGGGACTTTCTGCACAAAGAACACTGCCGCAGTCCACCATTGCACATACTCGATCGGCCTTTGTTTACCAAAATCGAGCATGATAGCTATCGCATTTGCCCGGGCCAGCGATCAATTAGAGCGTAATCATCGGTCAGAGTTTCCGTCTTGAGATCGATTGTTCTTTTTTCGCCCTATATAGTAACTTCGTTCCTGAATGCATTTTGACCAGAGTGGAACATATCGATCGTTTAGGGAGATGAAGTTCTATTTTTGCAACCGATTGGCAGGCAGCAGAATTGGACGCTCCACTCCTGCGGGCCAGAGACATGCGGGGAGTCCCGAGCGGGCGAGGAAGAGCCGACGTTAGTCTGACACTTGGATCACCTTGGCGACAAGGAGTTGGATATGAGCTGGCATGATTAAGCCGAATAGAAGAAGACTTCCGAGGCAAAAAGGTCGAGGCATCAAAACAAAGAGAATCTTTTGAGTTTGTTAAGGTTCACGATTTGGAGGACCCCTGCTGAGTCAGCAAATGAGCAAATGCGGGGAACCCTCCAGCTTCAACTTTCTCAACTTTCTTCTCAACTTCCGTTCAACTTCCCCCTCAAGCAAAACAAGCCAAGGACCTTCAGGCAAAGGTGTGGGATGATGATTCTACGAATTGATCTCTTATCCAAAGCATTGCCCCTGTGAGGTTATGAGGACATGAAATGAGAGTGGGTAAAGGCTGTGAACGGTGTCGGTATCGTCACATCCGCTGTGTGATTCCTCCGGGGGCCTCGTCCTGTGCGTCCTGTGAGCGCCAGAGACGAGTCTGTCAACTCGACCCACCGTTCCACTTCAAGACTGTTCACCATGTTTATCAGAAGAGCAATGGTACATCTGCACGTTTCGACCTAGAGTGGGACGAGGATCAAGTCTGGATAGATACATCTCAACCTGGTAAGTTCTGTAGATCGCGATTCGAAAGTAGACACCCGCAGAGAAATACCGAGGCTGACTTTTCTGTCGTTTCAGTGACGTTTGTACTTGAAGGCTGGGATAATGTCGAGGGAGAAGGCCCAGGGGAACAACTTGTTCCAGAGAACCCGACCGTGACCACGAGGAGACCATTATCGCCAGACTTTCCGTGGGAACCCCACCGCGATGGGCTTCCAGACAGCCTCGCCGTGGAAAATGCTACTCCTCAATCGGCCCAATCGCTTTTCAGTGAACTCGCCCCCCAACAGCAAATTGCTAGAAGCTACGCTATCTCCCCTCCGACGATGGGCGGACCACCTGCCCTATCACTCCGAGAAGCGTCTCTGATGCGCCATTTCATTCAACGGATAGCCCCATGGGTAAGGAGTACATTCTTCTATCTAAAGCATAATCTTACCCTGACATATCTCTTTTGACTAGGCAGACGTTTGCGACCCCCAGTGCCACTTTAGCACGGAGGTTCCCCGTCGGGCATTACAGGTCCCCATGCTTTTAAAAGCAGTCATGGCTCTCGCAGCCCGGCACGACGCAATTCTCAACAACCAGAGCGACTGGGAGGCCTCGGCATATCACGGCCATTGTTTGGAACTGCTTATCCCGGCGCTCGACTGGCCTGAACAGACCTATGACGAGAACCTGCTGGTAACGGTAGTGCTGTTACGAATATACGAAGAGCTGGAAAACACCACCGACCCGCAGTTCCACCTCTTAGGATCCAATCGTCTGATCAATTTGATGTCTCGGTCCGCATCCTCGGGTGGACTAGCAGAGGCTGTTAGCTGGCAATTTCTGCGACAGGCCATCTACGCATCCGTGGTGCAATATCAGCCATTGCAGTTGGACTTGCAAAACTATGAGCAGTCATCCATGTTTCAACGCACTGATGATGCTGCATTTGCAAACAGGGTAATTTTCCACTGTGCGGATATTCTCCGAATCTGCCGCAATGTGCCCCAGGAGCCCGTGGATGAAGATGCACGACTTCAAGTGGTTCACGCGGTGGATGAATGGCACCGGGTGAAACCAACCTCTTGGCAGCCACTCCGATATCAACCCGCGGATGCCACAGTAAATCGGCCATTTCCTGAAATATGGATGATGTCGGCCCCAGTCGGTTTGTGCACACCCTGCAACAGTCTCTCCAGTCACAGTCTTGGGTACTGACAGCGTGTCTAGTTGTTGGGATGCAGTATTACCACGCTGCCTGTATATTCTTAACGTTCTCCGAGGGATGTTCACGACCCATGAGTGATTACCAAATGGCTCGCTCGCGGCGGATGTCAGAGGTATAAGCCCACTCGCATCATCATCACTCTTCTATTCCGGTGGCTAACGTCATGTTCATAGCGAACCATCGCCAGTCATATTGTGAGCGTCATTGGATTATCTCAATCCAATGAAAGTGTCCAAAATGCCTATTTTATGGCATGTCATCTGCTTCATCGATGTTAGTCTTCCCTTTCCCTGCACATCTGATTCTGGGCTTACCCGTGGCCAGTTGGCTATTGTTTGAAGAATGGGGCCGAGCAGCAAGGCTCAATGGAATTTCTCTCCCGCGTGGAGGAAGTCCTGGGCTGGCGCACTTCGTGGATTAAGCGAGAGCTAGAACGCCAGTGGGCCGAACTTAGCCAAGTAGACAGCCCTGATGGTTGAAGAAACTCGGTAGTATTCTATCGTAGCTATGCATCTCGATCGGAATTATATCGCCTTGTTGATTTCTTTCTCATGGAAGATTCAGCCAACCTCGGCTTCTAGGTGGGCCATACCCTAAATAAATGTTGATATTCTCTATATTCCATGATACTGAACCGCGATCAACTCGAATACCACATAGGAAATGGATGGGAGCAATCACTCGTAGAGAGGTCAGTCGTAGTCCTCGTGGGTTTCTGCGGCAATCCGTCGGGTTTATTCCACATCTCCGACGTCCGGGCTTATCACACATCTCCGATCCCGAGGTCGTCTGGCGTGTCATCAAATGCCGTGGCAATCTGATGGCTCTAGGTCACTTCTGGAAGTTCTCTCGGGTGATAATCGATCCGGCCAATGGAATAACAGGAGGTGAACCGGCCTGGCAGGGTCTATCGTTGCTGATAAATGCTCAGACTGAATGTATACTGCATCTCATTAGTTATTGCACTCCAATCTCGATCCTATTCCGTATTCAATAGGATGCTGATTCGAGTGATACCGCCACCACTCGCAGTGATTGGGTCTCTCGTGCAGCGCGATCTTCAGTCAACCCGGAGCATCAGCCCCGTCAGACACACCATCCAAACAAACTGGTATAAAGAGTCTCTCGCAATTTCTCTTTTTCTTCATTAATTTCAATTTCCTTCAACCGCTCATCCCGATCTATCTTCCCTTTCCCTCCCGAATTCACCCCCGACCACTCAAATAATAACCCTGCAGTTTCACCACAATGAGTCTGCCGTCTCACTACAAACGGGCCGCCTTCAGAGAGGCTGGTGGCCCGCTCACTATTGAAGAAATCGACTTGACCATGCCGGATGTTGGCGAAGTGCTGGTGAAGGTGGAAGCTTGCGGAGTTTGTTTCTCCGACACGGTTCCACAGAGTCATGGCCTGGGTGGGAAATTGTAAGTTTCTCCCGCCATCTCCCCGTCCAGCTCATTCAAGGGAGGCTCCCTGGGTGGAAAGGAGCTAGGTTGATGATGTTTTCTAGTCCAATCGTACCCGGTCATGAAATCATCGGACATGTGGTTGCGACAGGTGATGGTGTCTCGGACTGGAAGGTTGGCGATCGTATCGGCGGAGGATGGCACGGCGGCCATGACGGTATATCACACCCTGTACTCCGCATTCTCCAAGGTTTTTTTATAGCAAGGGCTGATTTGGTTTCTACCAGGGACTTGTCCCTCCTGTCGCCAGGGCCATTTCCAAATGTGCGACAATCAGAGCATCAACGGGGTAACCAAAAATGGCGGTTGTAAGTCGTCAGAAACATGCCTCCAATATTGAGAATGCGAATAGCTGATTCTCTAGATGCCCAATACTGCATTCTCCGTAGTGAAGCTGCGGTCAAAATTCCCACTCATGTCTCAGCCGCCGAGTATGCCCCGATTCTCTGCGCCGGCGTGACTGTCTTCAACTCGATGCGTCAAATGGGGGTCAAACCTGGCTCTACCGTTGCTATTCAGGGTCTGGGAGGTCTCGGCCATCTTGCCATCCAATATGCGAATCGCTTCGGCTTCCGAGTGGTGGCCATCTCTCGCGATGATCAAAAGGAGCGATTTGTGCGAGACCTCGGTGCCCATGAGTATATCAATACAAGCGAAGAAGATGTCGGAAGCGCGCTCCAGAAATTGGGAGGTGCTTCTCTGATTGTAGCCACCGCACCCAATCCCCAGGCCATTTCCCCTCTATTGAAGGGCCTTGGACCTCTGGGTAAGCTTCTTATTCTCGCCGGTAAGTATCTTGATCTCTCCCGCTTGCAATCAAACTCCGATTGCTGATTATGTCTAGTTCCGGGCGAAATCCCCCTCGATACACGGCTTATGGTGGGTCTTTCTCCTCTCCCGTATCCTGGTCTTGATCCCACCAAGGTCCCTAACAACCCGCTCATTAAAGGTCGCCCGAGGTCTTTCTGTCCATGGATGGCCAAGTGGGCATGCGCTTGATTCTGAGGAAACCATTCGCTTTACAGAATTAGAGGATATCAAGTGTATGATCCAGACATATTCTCTTGATCGTGCCAATGAAGCATTCGGTAAGTTTTGATTTTCGAGGAGATGCCCGATCCTTTCTTACAGACTAATAGATGCCATGATTTCGGGGTCGGTTCGATTCCGTGCGGTGATTACCATGGAGTAAAATCAAATGGAAATCGTCTATCACCGACAGATATATGAGGCAAATCGCGGCTCAAAAGTAGGCAAGTGTCCAAAAAAGGCCTTATCTGGCCCTATCTCGGGCACGCAACTACCGATCAGTAGTTAGGTTGGCAGTGAGGTCTTAAGAAATAGCCCTCGATCAAATTCAAGATCCAAGGACAGGCCATTAAGCATTTCTGATATTTAAGGGTTACACGGAAGTTAATTGATTATTTTCTATCCCTTCTCGTTAATGTATACTGATCTTGTTGGATGTCCAATGTGATATCTGACCCAGCGCGGTTAAGCATAAACAATAGTTCATCTTTTCCCACTCTTACCGCTAAATAGACGGGTAATATTTAAGCAGGTGCGGTAGCTAATGTGAGGTGCTCATGGTTCCAGAAATGAGCCACAGTCCCTATCAAAGGTTGTCACATTCTGCCAAAACGTTCCTAGAATATATCGTCTAGCACAAGATTCGGGAATTTGAAAAGAGGGTGAAAACGATCGAATCATACAGTCCATTTGACATGTTAATTCAGATCAAAATAAGAACTGGCTGAAAGACGAGTAGAAATACTGAAGGTTGATTATATTATCACCGATAACCCCAGACATTAGTAGACGAAGAGTATCTCTATATCGAAGGGCAATCGGGCGCTACATCGTGAGATGGTTACCAAGCACTACATACTACTTTAGAAACCACTCCATTTTGGGATGAATTTCTAGCTTCCATTGATCCGGGCAGGAAAGTGACGAAATGCTTTATAGCCCGATCAAGACAGTCTTGCTATCAATCCCCACGCGGGGCTTCTTTGTCACGAGCAGCATCCGATGATATATTAGCTAACAGCCCGGACTAAAGGAAGTAGGTGCAATTTAAACTTGAGCACAATGCAGGGAATAAAGAAAGGATAGAGTGTACCTACAATGCGTGCTCTTCTCTCGGGGTATCTCTTCGCGAGTGATCTCTTTTCTCCGCGATCTGGGGGGAAAATCACGGCAAACCTCGTCATTACCCCGCAATCATCTAGAAGAATGACAAAACGGAGTATACTGAGCTATTCTGTTGGTGGAAATTCTTTCGCTTTCAAAAATCCAGAAATGCCGTGAATATATTCATCAGCTCGAGGAGGACAGTCAATGAAGTATAAGTAGCCTCGAGAGTAGGCAACATATTGTAGTTAGAGCCGCTCCAAATCGGAACAACAACACGGTCGAAAAATCAGAATGATCGGTCTTCTGTCGCTTTTGATCAATTTTCTCCCAGTGCAAGCACTGCCTGCCTCAGCACCAGTAATGCCCCCTTATTTTGTCTTGGCTGGCGATAGCACAACAGCCACCCAGTCGTCCAATGGAGGAGGCTGGGGAGATGGATTTCTGAACACTACGCTGTTCAACGGGGCATCTGGTCACAACTATGGGCATAATGGTGCGACAACGGTCAGCTTTCGAGCTGGCGGTGACTGGGACACCGTACTTGCAAGGGTCCGGAATGTTAGCCACCAGTACCAACCATTCGTGACTATTCAGTTCGGGCATAACGACCAAAAGGCAGCCGCAAACATCTCGCTCTCCCAGTATACTGAGAATCTACAAAGATATGTGACAGAAGCGGTTGATGCAGGGGCAACCCCTATTCTTGTGACACCGTTGTCAAGGCGCAATTACGACAACTCGACAGGACAGCCGGTGATTATCCAGGATCTTGCGAATCAAACAGCAGCGACCATCACGGCCGCACACAACACTGGCGCCGCGTTCATTAATCTCAACCGCGCCAGTACTGACTACCTCAATGCGATTGGACCGACGGACGCCTATACCTATAACTTAATTACTACCGACCACACTCATCTCAATGTCGAGGGTAGCATCGTTTTCGGTGGAATTGTTGCCGACTCAATCCTGGGCGATTTCCCCGAGTTGCACGGACATGGCTTCGTTCGGGTGAATGAGACCTTGAAAAGGGATGTTGAGCATGGAATCTATTACTGGCTGTGAAACAAATGGAAGTGATGCATGCGGAATCTTCGATTACGATCTTTGCGTTGCAATATCCTCTTGTCTCCATCCTGTATTTGGAGAATAGTACGAACATCAAGATCCAAAATAAATCAGATGTCAGACAATCGAAGGTCAAAATCTGAGAAACAGAGAAAAGAAGACTGTACTTTTGGCTGATACGCGATCTTGCAGCCTTACGTCCAAGAAAGCCAATGTGTTTACGATTCGTGCGACTGGCCGAATATCACTGGTCCCGTGGGAGGCTAAACAGTCGGCGATAAATAAAGCTAGCAATGAACAACCGTCGATATGCAATATAGGCTGTATGAAGTTTCAAGCAATGCCGAGTCATCGAGATATTATCTCTACCCCATCCCTGGGGACATGCTCGGCTGTACTTGAAATGCGGGGTCGGGGGCTGCATAATTCTTTGTGCCTCGGGCCTTTCGGTAACCACAACGTGCAAGAGGGATTCTATACTTATACCAACCCCGTCCATGACAATCGCGAGCAAATATCCCGATCCTTAATTTCTAGAATGGCATCGCAAACACCTTCTAACAATGCCTACGTCCTCGGGGTTGGGCTGACTCAATTTCTCAAACCTCGGCGGACCAGGGAATACCCCGAGCTCGGATATGAAGCTGCCGTCAAGGCCTTGATCGACGCCAAAATCAATTACGATGAAGTGCAACAGGTGATCGCCTGCTATTGCTATGGCGATACAACCAGGTATGGTTGGAATGATATATCGTGCCCCTTCTGCTTGGTGCCTTGCTGATGTTTGCGTTCCTCGTCCAGTGGCCAGAGAATCGTCTACAACCTGGGAATGACAGGATGCCCCGTGTTGAACTTGAATCAAGCCTGTGCAACTGGTAGTACAGGTCTTCATACAGCTCGCCGGCTCATCCAAGGTGGAGTTATTGACTGCGCCCTGGTCATCGGTTTCGAGCAGATGCGCCCTGGCTCAATCAAGAGTGTCTGGGACGATAGACCCAGCCCATTGGGTCCTTCGACAAAACTCATGGAGGATACCTTTGGAAAACACGATGCCCCTCGAAATGCGCAATACTTCGGAAACGCCGGTCAGGAGTATATGCAGAAGTCAGCGCGATTCCTAATATCCCTCTGGTATATTTTCATCCATGCCTTGCTAACTCTGGGATAGATATGGGGCCAAGGCCGAAGACTTTGCAGAGATTGCGCGCATCTCGCACGAACACTCCCAGCGAAATCCCTATGCTCAATTCCAGCAAGCGTACACCTTGGACGAAGTGCTCAACTCTACCCCGGTCTATGGCCCTCTCACAAAGCTCCAATGTTCACCCACGAGCGATGGTGCCGCTGCGGCCGTGATCGTATCACAGCGCTTCCTGGACGCGCGGCCATCCCTGAGATCACAGGCTATCTTGATAGCTGGCCAGGCATTGCTGACCGATGGACCAGAGGTGTACTCTGGAAGCGCCATCGACCTCGTCGGATTCAACATGTCTCGCGATGCCGCCAAGCAGGCGCTCGAAGAGGCAGGGGTTCAAATTAAGGACATCAAAGTGTGCGAGCTCCACGACTGCTTTTCGACGAACGAGCTTTTGCTGCTAGATGCGCTGGGATTTTCCGAGCCTGGAAAGGCTCACGAGATGGTTCGTCGTGGTGATATCACATACGGTGGACGTGGCCCTGTAATTAACCCTTCCGGCGGGTTGATTTCTAAAGGACATCCACTCGGAGCTACTGGAGTTGCTCAATGTGCGGAACTGACGTGGCAGCTCCGTGGCTGGGCAAATAACCGTTTGGTCCCCAACACCGACCTTGCGCTACAACATAATTTGGGATTAGGGGGAGCCGTAGTGGTGACCGTCTACAAACGGGCCGATGGCCAGATGAATCACGCCATGTCGAACGAAGAGGTGAAGCGGATTTCTGGATTGGGGTACAACCCCGCGGTGGAAGCCCATTATATTAGTCCCCAAGACGGTGAAAGTGTGAGGAGCAAGACCAAGCGTCATGATTATCCGCTTCGGGAGATCAAGGCCAAGCTGGCGGCTCGGATTTGAAGAAAGAAGGAAAAGAAAGGAGATGAAAGTGTATGTTGCCGTACTTCACGAGGTGTTTCAACTTTATACCTAACTTTAGCGGTTTAGGGCTGCGGAAGACATGGAATACATCTGTAGTGAGATTGCTACCGGACATAACCTTGGCTTCTCACAGTCGCAATACCAGAAAAACTCGGGTTTGCTGTATTTAGCAGTATTATGAAATATACTATAACCAGCAAAAGCCATCAAATTTTCTTTAGCATTTATTGAGCGCAAATGGATAAACTTGTGCTCATGCATGGGGTCTTTGGCCAATGTAGATGCCATTCGAGCCGATAAAAAAAGTGAAGTGATAGTCTTCAACAATAAAATGATGCTGTCTCACGATTGGTATCTGTATGCAATTTGGATTCGAAAAGGTCCTTCAGCCCTCCTGGGCCGCGCCTCAAAAACCTTTGCTCTTCGTCCGAGCGTATGTATGCATCTTGAGCAACGAACTCTCCCCCGCCAGGGCATACGCGCCCAGGAATCCCGCTCTTCGCATAATGATTCCGATATCTCTGGAGACCCGAGTTGCACGAACAGTCCCGCTCGAGCTATTTCAGTAAGATCCTTCAAGAAGGGCTTCCAGAAAGAAGATTCGCACAGGTTTAAAAATCCATGCCCGGGACCAATAAAATGCTGCGAATATTCAGTATGGATACCAAATATCACTGTCAATATTGACATGGGTGATGGAAGGCATATGATTAGGCAATCCAGCACCGGATCTTTTTTCGATCATAGATATTGTAGGAAAGGCGCTGTTCAAGGTTCCTCGTCACCCTTTGGGTCATCTGCATGCAGATGCATGGAATGAAGCTTTTGCTTGGCTTCATCCAGCTTCTCATGAACATTCTTGATCTTGCGCTTGGCTGTAGTGTACCCTTCGATTCCGGCCAGGATTGCATATGACTTGGTCATCGACGTTCGCGACAGATCAACACCCCGTTCTTGGAGCGAGTGATGAAAGGCACGGAAGTTGGCAAGATGCGGGCGATAGTGACCACTGTGCCTGTTAGAATTTAGAGATATATGAGATGAGCTGTGAGCTTACCTTAGAGGTGCTAGGCCTCGTATTTGTCCATCTTTCGTTTTGATCAGGCCAGCTGCAGAAATTCTGCCTCCTCGTAAAAATGAGCTGTGTTGGAATGCCCCGGGTTCTTTGATTCCAATGTAGATACGAAACGACGTGTCCGCAACCTTGACGCAATATGAGTTAGAAGAGAACCCTGGAAGTTGGTTTTTCGAGACTCACAAAGATCCACATCCCATCCTTGATTGATAAACTCCCAGCGAAGTGGTCATAGACAAATGCGGGGCGGATGCGTGAAAAGTTGTTGACAGCCTTTCCAAGCTCATAGTCTTCTCTGGTGGATATACTTGATGACTTGGTCTTCTCGTTGACGGGAGGGATGGGGGAGGAAGGTTCTCGTGATGGAGTTTGATCAGGCGCTGGAGTCGAGACCGGGTCTTGGGCAGAACGAGCTCCATGTCGAGGAACATTCTCATCCACACGAACTACTCCGTTCACGCTGTCTTTGTACCGCTTGCTATCAGTGTCTACCAACTCGTTGTTTTTGGCCCACCGCAAAAGTCCCGCATCATCGACGTTGACCAGGTAGTTGAATCGCTCTTCCGGGGATAGATAGCGCACTTGATCTTTCTCGAGTCGTTCGCGTGGGCACCGGGGAAGCTCAATATCCTTGCCTTCCCCGTGGTCGAGCCAGTAGAAGAAGTTCTCATTGGAGGGAGAGTTTTTCCAAGCGGCGTGGTAAGCACGGAGGTGGCTCCCATGCCGATGTTTTGAATCGACCATTTCTAGAAAATATTCCAGACCCATCGTTTTTGCAGGACACGTAGGAGTGTGACTGCTCCGAGGATCATCTGAATGACTATGGCTTTCGCTGTCAACCGATGGTCCTCCATCTCTGCTAGCCTGTATTGCAACGCTGACAGCTCGTTGCCAGTTCTTGCGCGCAGGGCTGATAATGTGGGCGGGATCGGTCGCATCTTCGATATTTGCACCAGTACTGGTATCCTCGATATCATCGGTCCATTCTGGGGGAGGGTTTCTGCCAGTCTAACATCCGCCGTCCATATCAGTCATCGATTCAAAATTATGATAAAAGCATCGGGAGGGTATTTGCTATTCTCACATTGAGACACCGAGAGGAAGCTGACAGACCACATCCTTCAAGTTCTCGACGAGTTCGGTAGCCACGATATACTCTCTAATATCATTTGGTATCAGTTGAGTTCAGTATATACCTTCATTTGGTTATTGCTCAGTTCGTACCTGAATGGTGCACGCCGCCCGTTCCTCTGGATCTGAGGGGGGAAGGGGCATGACGTCAGTCCAAGCTCCCCGTTGCGCGCTTGGAGAGCTTCGTGGTGGCATGAGGGGGTGGGAACTGGTAGTTGTCGTCATGACTGGCATCTGCAAGATATAGAAAATAAAAACAAAACAAGCTCTATTGGTAAAAAAATTATGATCCGCGTCAAGTCGCGCTTTTGGCAGTGAGCGACACTCGCCGTTTTTGATTTGGGAAACGAAGCGGGGAGCCGACAAGATGAATGCGATAAGCGATAAGATCCGGGCGATTAGACCGATAAGCCTGGTAGTTCAAGCTGTTGGAAAAGAGCTGAATAAGCCATGTAGGTGCACCAATAGGAATCGTAATGAGTCTGAATTACTATGAAGCCCCTAGCTGGCAATTTAGATGGGGCAATTTGAATGACTAATCCTGGTGGATCTATAGAATCTCCGTTTTCCGGGTATCCACCAATCCTGCTGCTCCGTCACAAGCATCCCGGTGCCTGAGCAAGCTCTCGGAACAAGGACATGACGGGCTTCCACATAGTCTTAAATTTTCCTGCTCTATGCATTTATCTCGAAAGTCTTTAAATAAACTCGGGACGAAGGCTTCCATTCATGTAAGAGCTATCAAAGCTAAGGATATTCTCAAGGGACCACAGATCGGGAGGGGTCCTGCATGACTCGTTCTAGCTACCAGAACAATATTGCTATGATTGCACTCCTTCACCTCTCAGTAATTCTCCTCCAAGCTTGAGGTCTCGAACAGTGGAGATTCCTGCTGCGGTTTCTCCGGTGACAGCGATCGGGTTCGAGATCGGGTTGGCATATTTTCCTTCAAAGGGCTACTGCCCTTCGCGGGAGATCGGGAGCGAGAGGGCTCCTTTTCCGGGGACAGAGATCTGTATGTCGATCGGAAAGGTATGTTCTCCAGCCATGGAACAATTGCCTTCTCCGGAGACCGTGAGCGAGACGGCACCTTCGGAGAGTCAATGTCCGACTCGAAATCGCTGTCTTCCTCCTCCGCGGCTCCCTGCATAGCCGCAATACGCGACAAGTGCCACCTGAGCTCAAGCAAGCTAAATGATGGCAGGGGCATCTTCACAGGATCTGGGGTGGTGATTTCGAATATGAAGCCAGAAGGGATCACTTGCCTAGATCCCATGTGGAAGAGCATCATCATGGGCCTGGGGCCTTCCGTGAATCCCCGCGGCAGGTCAGGGTAGGGGTGCAACAACAGATGGGCAGGAGAGTTTCGCTGGACACTTTTAAGGGCCAGAGGTAGCCAATGGAAGGCTACTTTCAGACTGGTCTGTTCATCGTTGACGCTGATTGGTCGAAAGGCACAAACAGCGGAGTCCCAGTATTCATGGACTTGGACACTGAGTGTCATCAAGTTGGCGACAAACTCGGTATTCATAGAACCATCGGCGTTCCGCAAAAGCTCCTGCTGCCAAGTCTTGACTTTTTCCTTATCCCAGAATATTCCCAGCCAGTCCCAAATCGGATCCACCTTAGTGGTGATTTTATCCAGCTTGAATGGCAAGATGTGCGACACATGTAGTGTCGGCTGCGTGAGCTTCGTGAGGACACATTGCTGTCCGTCACGGGCGAGGGCCTATATGGGAAGATATTAGTAAATAGGAAGTTGAAAACAAAAAGGGGTTAATGAGACTCGGAAGGGCGCTGCTCTGGCAAATTAGAATCCTAGCGTACCTGATCTCTAATGCCAATGTCACGCTTGGAGAGTGTGGAGGCGGAGAGCGAGGGAATCGGCAACCGAGAGCGGACCTGTGACCGGCCTCGGGGAGGGGCATGATCCTGCGGTGCCTTGAGACCGCTTTCGGGATTGATGGGAGGGACTTGGGAGGGTTTCGGGGGGGACGAAGCGCGAGCTTGGGGTGTCTGACCCGGTATGGATGGACCACGGGTTACCCCCGAGAGGGAGGGAACCGGCAACTGAGAGCGGACCTGTGACCGGCCTCGCTTGGGAGCATCATCCTGCGGTGCCTGAAGACCGCCTTCGGACTCGATGCGAGGGGCTTTGGTAGGTCTTTCGGGTGAGATGGAGGGAGCTTGGCGCGCCTTAGGTGGTAGCGATGGACCACTGATGGGCAGAGCCATTCGCCACGCGGGATTGGGTCTTTTGGCGCCAGCCCCTAACGACAGGAAAGGTCAGTCAGGGTTTATAGAAAGTAGGTTTGGTATTTTACTTACAGATACCAGCGTGATCATCTTGGCTAGATTTCAAGATAAAACGCAGAGCGTTTCTGAGATCATTGTCACCAGGTTTCACTGCCTTCCTGAGGACGCTAATGTCGCAGAACCATAGTGCGAATAGCGAATGGCGAGAAACAAGGTCTATGCCGCCGGCCAGCTGCACAAATTCGGCGATCAGTGCCTGACGAACTGGATCCAGGAACTCCGAGAAGATGTGCTGATCATCGATTTCTGATGCCATATTGTAGGTAAGAGTGGTGACTTGCAGAGAGGGGAGGTTTGGAAATAGTGGCTGCGAAGGGCGAGTGTACGTGGGGAGGAAGTTGGGTTGAGGAAGTCAAGAGAGGAAGAAGGTGGGAGTGGGAGAATGAGCAACGTCAAAAAGCTTCAACTATCCTTATAGCAAACATACCAGTCCTAATCCAGAAACCACAACAACCGTACTTGCAACAACGAACCGTGGATAGAGTTATAGATGCAGCACACTACTGCGTTATATTACTACTTCAAGTTCGTTATGATAATATGATAACAAGACTCTCTTGGAACTGGGTGAATCTCATATTGTTTCCGTCGATGAGGGCGCTGTTTTTGTCGCGTGGGATTTCTTTCTGGCCCCGTTGTTACGGAGGCCTGGGAGAAAATGGAAAGTGCAACTCATGGCAGTTCCATGGATGTTCAGAGCCTGGATCTACTTTTGCCGCGGCCTGCCTAGATCTGGATTATGAAAAGCATCCACTACCCTTGTCATATCTTCGTTTTCATTTCAATTTTATCAACGATCGTCTCTGCCTTGATCGACCTCGAGTTGCCCATATATTTACCTTGATTCCCATTTTTCCGAGATCAGGTCCTCCCATCTCAACTCTAACGTCTCCGACCTTCTGCTTCCCAAGCCCCTCTGATTGAGGCTGGTATACTTATACCAGATTCTTCTGGGACCGATTCCCTCTCATCTCAATTCCCACGTCGTCAAGATCCCTCTTCCCTCAGTACTTTTGGAATCACGCAGATATACTCTGCACTGTGCTCATTTTTGAATTAGCGGTCTCTCACTCTGAAAATTCACTATATATCACTCTCGAGGTATCAAGCATGCATTTTGAAATGATGGAAGTGAGCAAGGACTGATAGCTAATTTGTTTCCAATCCAGACACTTCCAGCATGGCCGACCATAGCCCAGTGATCAATCAGCCAAATGCGCCCCCGGGATACTGGGCAAGAAAGGGTACAGAACTCCCATGGCGAGCGGCAAGAAAAGGAAGCTATCTTCATGGCGAGCTTTTGCTTAGGCTTCAACATCTCAACGCTATGCGAGAACCAAGTCTGCGACCAAGCCGGGCGTGGGAGGGGTCTGACTTCTTCGCCAAAATTGGCATAAAGAGGCAGAACGTTGAGGCCCTTCGTGTCCAGACCGTGGGGCAGGAGGCCGAAGACCCATGCCTTCACTGCCGGCGAGGAGATGGACCATTCGCGGGCTGCGTTATAGCTCATGAATGCGCTGACATCATGCCACAGTGCGCAAATTGCCACTGGGGCGCTCAGGGCGAACGCTGTTCCTTATACAAAAAGGCTCACCCTGACCTCAGCGCAGAGATTGTCAAGACAGCTCCCAAGGCAGACAAAAAGCGCAAGCTTTCCGAGATGTATGACGGGATTCAACTGGTGCTGAACCGCTCCGAACTCCTTCTTTCACAGCAGGCCTTACAGCTACAGGGCATGCTGGACGATATCAATCTGGAAAAATGCAAACTGGTCAAGAGCCGTGAGGATCTAGAAGTTCTGAGAAAGGAGCTTGAAGAGTGAAAAACCCTCACCATCGGTCACTGAATTTGCATCCTCATATGCATCGGAATTGGCATTGAGGTTCCCATCTATCTTCATTGCATATACACCGGATAATGTCCGCCAATTCTTGGCGCTCTCCTTCCGTTCTAGTGCTCACCCCCTCGCCGCTTTTGCTCACTGAGTAGAATTGAGCACGTCCTGAGCGACCTGATTCCGCTCAGTGATTATTACGTAATCAGGGTGACTTGCTCACTGAGCCTGATCCGAGCGTCCTAATTTGCTCACTGAGCCTGACCACAGCCTCCCTGATCTGATCACTGAGCCTCACCTGAGCAATTCCAGATTTGCTTATTAATCTCCTCCCAAGAGGTGATCTGAGTAAGTAGGCTCAATAAAACGCAACAAGCTAGCTCGACTCCTTATACAGATTTCCCTTTCAGTTAAAAGAGCGGGCATCGGTACATTTGCCACTTCCTTGGCGATCCTTGCCATTGTAACCAGGATGTATTTAGTGGACATTGTTTAATTGGCTGATTACAATTGTTGTAGATCTAATGCTCCTAGGAGCATTTTCCCGTGCCCGATACTTAGCTACATCTGGGGAGCTCTAGGGGTAAATTTGGATTTTCTAGACGAACTTCGCATTTTCTTTGATTTTGATTGGGTACTTTCAGATCTCTCTATAAAAATTCAGATACCGTTCTGTGATTATCTACTACTAGGATGACCACCTTTCGGGGCTTTGATGCTAGACTATTCTCACTAGATTAGGTAGTAATACATGGAAGGAAGACCAGCTATTCGTATGACTAAACACTTGCTCCTAGGAGCGTTAATATTTTATATCTTCAAGATAGCTAAATCAAAATACTCTGTCTGTTTGGACGAGATCTTATCATAGGTTCCTAGGAGCTTAAGTCTGACCAATGCTGCCTTGTCTTAATAAACATAGATCTGAATAAGGCTCCGTATACCGATGCCCTTTAAATAATGAACTTATCTAATAGTGAAAGTGAGTGTAATGCTAATCATATCATATTTCTTTCGCTGATAGTTCTTCGGATAGAAAGGCGTTTACACATACTAATTACCGCCCGTCTATACCATATATTTCACGCACTTATAGTGAAGCCTAGCCAATTCTCAATCCTTGGCGATTATAACAAAAAGCATAATTAAACGTACTTAGATAATTTCTTCTATCGAGACTAGCGAAAGGTGCCGAATAAACTCTTGTCAGCCTATGTGGGTGTGTGGGGGTATATGCTTATGTGTGTGTGCTTATGTGTTGCCTGAGGGCCCGGCAGCCTGCCGGGCCGGACCATTGTTTTTCCCCTGCAGAAAGCCCCTCTATATGCATCTCTTCAACAGAGATATCGACCATGGCCTAATTGGCTATTTGACTAAGGATCCCGACGTCCTTTCTACACATTTCTATCCTGCATTAAGATCTATCAGATTATTAGATCTCTGCCCTATTTCCTTGCTGCCTAAACCACTGCAAATCGTGTATTTAAACGCTCGTTTACACCACTGTTTAGCCAGCAGTTTAATCGACTTTATTGTTCTTAAGACATTCTTTCCTTTCCTAGACAGTAGGATCCTATGACTAAGAGGAAGCTACTGCCTAGTCCCCTTTCGTCCTATGTGGATCAGCCCCCGATACACTAGGATCTGTTAGTTATAAGCCCGACCGTCTCAAACTAGACCAAAGACCTTAACCCCCCGACCGACGGCCTTAACTTTGACCAATCAGATCGCACGATTTGCGGAATTCTGTTGGTTTAGCCCTTCTTGCCGGTCGCATACCTTTAACCTTTAATCTTATACCTTCTATCTTGTTTACTTGACCAATTTATTCTATTCTATCTTTTTAATTGCTTCCTACCTACCATTTGCCACTATGTCAGAAACCAACTAGCTAGTCTTCTAGCTAAGGACCTTAGCCGATTAGATTCAGTGGTATACAGTAGTCAAAGACTAAGTAATTACGTAGGGACTATAGGTCTACATAAACCCCGAAGTGGCAGTCGAATACCTTAGGTAGCTACCTGAAGAACCAGAGTACCCTACTACTAGTTTACTAGGAGATCTTCCTAATTTAGTAGGTGACGCTCTCACACGCTATAATCTTATCCTACGCGACTATGACCGCTAACTAGACCGCTTCCGTCACTACTAGAAATCAATTGACCGTCTGAAGCAAGGGATTCGTAACTTAGTTTTAACTAATAATAAACGACTAATCCTATCATAATCCTCTCTACGTGACGTTATCAACATATTTCGTCTAATATATACGCCTACTAATTCATCTCGTAAGCGCTAGGTTTCTAAGAACTAGTTAAATCTACGCATATAGCCGCCGCCAAAGACTAATTACGATATATAGGTTCAGAAGTGGCTAATTTACTACACTAAAGCTAGAGAGATTAGCCTATCTAAATTCGAGGATACTAAGCGAATCATCTACGAGTTCCTTAAGGTAATTACCCCACTATCACCTAGTTTTATTACTGTTTGGATAAATCGCATCTACGAGTAAAGCGGCGTCTATTCGTTCGGCGTTTTACTAGAGTTTCCCGCCCTTATTAATCTCTATATAGAGTCTATCCGCCTAGCTCCGCTAATTCACTAGGCTAAATTTACTCATAGGACGACCTTCTAAGGTAGAAATCTAGATAGGACAGAAGCTATTACTAGCGCTAGCGGCGTTAACAGCGGCGCCAGTAGCGGCAATCCTACTAATAATAGTAGTGGTAATTAGACTAATTTCGATAGCTATAGCCGACCTACTTACCCCTATCATAGCCAGCTAAACGATAGTAACCACCGATTTAACGATTACCTATACGTCAACCCATAGGCTAGGCCACCTAACTGGTAATCTGATAAAGTAGTAGAAGACCGTTTTAAAGAGGCCTATAGGAATTGGAAGTTCAGAACTGCCTATAAGCGCGCGATTACTAAGCACTAACCAACGACTAATTCGACTAATTCGACTAATCTAACGGCTAAGTCAGAGGAAGATAAGACTACTAGGGTAGCGTTTAGCACGTACGTCCCTAAGTAGAAGGTCTTATCTCTTCTTTAGGCTAACCGCGTATTTAATTCGTTTCACACTAACTAACCGGCTAATAATATATAGTGTTTTGACACTAGGTTAACCCTATACATTTATAATAACCTCGACCTATTAACCGACTATCAGCTATCTCCCTCCTCTGTGAGAGTAGGTAATATAGAGACTACCATCTTAGGGTTTAGAAGGACAAGCTTCCGACCTACCGATAGCCTAGATAGGACCAAGATTAATCTTAAGGATGTTGCCTACGCGCCTAGTTTCTATGTAAATCTACTCTCTGCTAAGAAAGCTACTAGTATAGGCCTATACCTACGAGGGAGAGATTACATACTAGAGGAATCGAACGGTAAACCTATTTACCGATTGAATAAGAAATCTAGTCTATACCTCATTAAATGGGACTAATTAATAGTTAATAGTATAGCTCCCGAATCTTCTATTAACATAGCTAATCAGGTCTCTAGGATTCCTACCCTACCTAATCCTATCGAATTAGACCTCATTAAGGACCCTAGTAAATTAGCCTTTATATCTTCCTACGTACCTCGCTACGCGATAGCCTCGCTAGACCTTTAGCACTAGCGGCTAGGTTATATAAATCACGAGGTCCTATCCTATCTAGTTAACCACTTATCTAATGTCTCGATCGATTTGACCACCCTACCTAGCTATATATGTAAAACCTGCAAAGTTTCTAAGGCTAAACAGTAAATCTCTCGACGACTAATCGAGTATATTAGGCCTTTCGAATCTATCTATTAGGATCTTATCCACTAACCGCTATCTCTAGCTAGGACTAAATACCTATCCTACTGTGTTAATCCTATCACGAAGTATCAGATTAGCGAGGATCTTACCGATAAGACCCTTTCGACCACTTCCCTTTTTGGCTAAATCTAATTCCTTAAGACCTAATTCGACCTAAAGATTCTTACTATATACGCCGACGGTGAAACCGCCCTTCTACTAGACCTTTCTACCGAGGTTAGAGCTCGTAGTCTAAACCTAGAGCTATCTCCTCCTTACTAACTATCTCAAAATCCTTTTACCGAGCGCTATAGGGCGCTTATAACCGCGATAGCTAGGTAGATAACCTAGGGTGCTGGCCTACTAAGCTATCTTTAGAATAAGGCCTCTCTCACTACTATCTATATCCAGAATCGAATACCTCACTAGTCTCTCGACTAGAAATCTCCATCCGAAGCTCTCGCTAATTACCTTAGAGATAAAGCCCCTTATTAGCTAAAGAGACTACTAGACCTATCTAATATACGTATGTTTGGATGTAAAGCCTTCGTCAGAATCAATAATATACCGAAACTAGCTAAGATAAGCCCTCGCGCTGCTATTAGCTATCTTGTTAGTTACGATGTATCTAATATATAGCGAATCTGGATACCCTTAAAGAGAAGAATTATTCGTGTACGAGACGTTAAATTCGATAAAACACGTTTCTATAGCGACGAAATCCCTCCTTATCGTATTAAGATTATTAACGATTTATCTCAATTACTACTTACCCTTAACGACCTAGCTACCACACGAATTCTTAATGAGATAGACCTACCTAAACCGGCTAATCTAGCTAACTAGGAGGATTTACTAGAGGACTAACCTAGCTAAGGGGGTGTAGGTAGTAATTCTGTTAACTAATTAGACGATCTTAACTAGTTTACTCCTAACGACCAAATCCTTAGAGACCTACCGCTTACGCTAGTTAAGTAGAAGGATACCTATTAATCTAATAAGGCCCTTAACCCTAATATTAACGTCCCTAACCGCCCTCCTTCACTAGTTATTTTAATAGATAACTCTAATTTCGACTACTCAGCCTACCTACCTTCCTCTTTAGGTAAGCACGCTAGAGATAATTTATCTAATAACGACCACGACGATAAGCGCCATCGCGCCCTCGCTGCTTTCTACCATACAT